AAGGAGTCAGGTACTTTCTGGAGTGATAGAATGAGCCGATACAGCTCCAGCCCAGATAGAGCAGCACACACCATTTTGGGTCTAATCTGACTCTTGTAAAGATAAAGCATGGCAGAAGGAGCCAGGTACTTTCTGGGGTGATAGAATGAGCGACACAGCTCCAGCCCAGATAGAGCAGCAATACACCATTTTGGGTCTAATCTGACTCTTTGTAAAGATAAAGCATGGCAGAAGGAGCCAGGTACTTTCTGGGGTGATAGAATGAGCCGATACAGCTCCAGCCCAGATAGAGCAGCAATCCTCCATTTTGGGTCTAATCTGACTCTTGTAAAGATAAAGCATGGCAGAAGGAGTCAGGTACTTTCTGGAGTGATAGAATGAGCCGATACAGCTCCAGCCCACATATAGTCAGCAATACACCATTTTGGGTCTAATCTGACTCTTGTAAAGATAAAGCATGGCAGAAGGAGTCAGGTACTTTCTGGAGTGATAGAATGAGCCGATACAGCTCCAGCCCAGATAGAGCAGCAATCCTCCATTTTGGGTCTAATCTGACTCTTGTAAAGATAAAGCATGGCAGGAGTCAGGTACTTTCTGGAGTGATAGAATGAGCCGATACAGCTCCAGCCCAGATAGAGCAGCAATACACCATTTTGGGTCTAATCTGACTCTTGTAAAGATAAAGCATGGCAGAAGGAGCCAGGTACTTTCTGGGGTGATAGAATGAGCCGATACAGCTCCAGCCCAGATAGAGCAGCAATCCTCCATTTTGGGTCTAATCTGACTCTTGTAAAGATAAAGCATGGCAGAAGGAGTCAGGTACTTTCTGGAGTGATAGAATGAGCCGATACAGCTCCAGCCCAGATAGAGCAGCAATACACCATTTTGGGTCTAATCTGACTCTTGTAAAGATAAAGCATGGCAGAAGGAGCCAGGTACTTTCTGGGGTGATAGAATGAGCCGATACAGCTCCAGCCCAGATAGAGCAGCAATACACCATTTTGGGTCTAATCTGACTCTTGTAAAGATAAAGCATGGCAGAAGGAGTCAGGTACTTTCTGGAGTGATAGAATGAGCCGATACAGCTCCAGCCCAGATAGAGCAGCAATCCTCCATTTTGGGTCTAATCTGACTCTTGTAAAGATAAAGCATGGCAGAAGGAGTCAGGTACTTTCTGGGGTGATAGAATGAGCCGATACAGCTCCAGCCCAGATAGAGCAGCAATCCTCCATTTTGGGTCTAATCTGACTCTTGTAAAGATAAAGCATGGCAGAAGGAGTCAGGTACTTTCTGGAGTGATAGAATGAGCCGATACAGCTCCAACCCAGATAGAGCAGCAATACACCATTTTGGGTCTAATCTGACTCTTGTAAAGATAAAGCATGGCAGAAGGAGTCAGGTACTTTCTGGAGTGATAGAATGAGCCGACAGCTCCAGCCCAGATAGAGCAGCAATACACCATTTTGGGTCTAATCTGACTCTTGTAAAGATAAAGAATGGCAGAAGGAGTCAGGTACTTTCTGGGGTGATAGAATGAGCCGATACAGCTCCAGCCCAGATAGAGCAGCAATCCTCCATTTTGGTTCTAATCTGACTCTTGTAAAGATAAAGCATGGCAGAAGGAGTCAGGTACTTTCTGGAGTGATAGAATGAGCCGATACAGCTCCAGCCCAGATAGAGCAGCAATACACCATTTTGGGTCTAATCTGACTCTTGTAAAGATAAAGCATGGCAGAAGGAGTCAGGTACTTTCTGGAGTGATAGAATGAGCCGATACAGCTCCAGCCCAGATAGAGCAGCAATACACCATTTTGGGTCTAATCTGACTCTTGTAAAGATAAAGCATGGCAGAAGGAGTCAGGTACTTTCTGGAGTGATAGAATGAGCCGATACAGCTCCAGCCCAGATAGAGCAGCAATACACCATTTTGGGTCTAATCTGACTCTTGTAAAGATAAAGCATGGCAGAAGGAGTCAGGTACTTTCTGGAGTGATAGAATGAGCCGATACAGCTCCAGCCCAGATAGAGCAGCAATACACCATTTTGGGTCTAATCTGACTCTTGTAAAGATAAAGCATGGCAGAAGGAGTCAGGTACTTTCTGGAGTGATAGAATGAGCCGATACAGCTCCAGCCCAGATAGAGCAGCAATACACCATTTTGGGTCTAATCTGACTCTTGTAAAGATAAAGCATGGCAGAAGGAGTCAGGTACTTTCTGGAGTGATAGAATGAGCCGATACAGCTCCAGCCCAGATAGAGCAGCAATACACCATTTTGGGTCTAATCTGACTCTTGTAAAGATAAAGCATGGCAGAAGGAGTCAGGTACTTTCTGGAGTGATAGAATGAGCCGATACAGCTCCAGCCCAGATAGAGCAGCAATACACCATTTTGGGTCTAATCTGACTCTTGTAAAGATAAAGCATGGCAGAAGGAGTCAGGTACTTTCTGGAGTGATAGAATGAGCCGATACAGCTCCAGCCCAGATAGAGCAGCAATACACCATTTTGGGTCTAATCTGACTCTTGTAAAGATAAAGAATGGCAGAAGGAGTCAGGTACTTTCTGGGGTGATAGAATGAGCCGATACAGCTCCAGCCCAGATAGAGCAGCAATCCTCCATTTTGGTTCTAATCTGACTCTTGTAAAGATAAAGCATGGCAGAAGGAGTCAGGGTACTTTCTGGAGTGATAGAATGAGCCGATACAGCTCCAGCCCAGATAGAGCAGCAATACACCATTTTGGGTCTAATCTGACTCTTTTGTAAAGATAAAGCATGGCAGAAGGAGTCAGGTACTTTCTGGAGTGATAGAATGAGCCTGATACAGCTCCAGCCCAGATAGAGCAGCAATACACCATTTTGGGTCTAATCTGACTCTTGTAAAGATAAAGCATGGCAGAAGGAGTCAGGTACTTTCTGGAGTGATAGAATGAGCCGATACAGCTCCAGCCCAGATAGAGCAGCAATACACCATTTTGGGTCTAATCTGACTCTTGTAAAGATAAAGCATGGCAGAAGGAGTCAGGTACTTTCTGGAGTGATAGAATGAGCCGATACAGCTCCAGCCCAGATAGAGCAGCAACACCATTTTGGGTCTAATCTGACTCTTGTAAAGATAAAGCATGGCAGAAGGAGTCAGGTACTTTCTGGAGTGATAGAATGAGCCGATACAGCTCCAGCCCAGCAGCACACACCATTGGGTCTAATCTGACTCTTGTAAAGATAAAGCATGGCAGAAGGAGTCAGGTACTTTCTGGAGTGATAGAATGATACAGCTCCAGCCCAGATAGAGCAGCAATACACCATTTTGGGTCTAATCTGACTCTTGTAAAGATAAAGCATGGCAGAAGGAGTCAGGTACTTTCTGGAGTGATAGAATGAGCCGATACAGCTCCAGCCCAGATAGAGCAGCAACACACCATTTTGGGTCTAATCTGACTCTTTGTAAAGATAAAGCATGGCAGAAGGAGTCAGGTACTTTCTGGAGTGATAGAATGAGCCGATACAGCTCCAGCCCAGATAGAGCAGCAATACACCATTTTGGGTCTAATCTGACTCTTGTAAAGATAAAGCATGGCAGAAGGAGTCAGGTACTTTCTGGAGTGATAGAATGAGCCGATACAGCTCCAGCCCAGATAGAGCAGCAATACACCATTTTGGGTCTAATCTGACTCTTGTAAAGATAAAGCATGGCAGAAGGAGTCAGGTACTTTCTGGAGTGATAGAATGAGCGACACAGCTCCAGCCCAGATAGAGCAGCAATACACCATTTTGGGTCTAATCTGACTCTTGTAAAGATAAAGCATGGCAGAAGGAGTCAGGATACTTTCTGGCATAAAAGATAAAGCATGGCAGAATGAGCAGGTACTTTCTGAGTGACAGAATGAGCTCCAGCCCAGCCCAGATAGAGCAGCAACACACCATTTTGGGTCTAATCTGACTCTTGTAAAGATAAAGCATGGCAGAAGGAGTCAGGTACTTTCTGGAGTGATAGAATGAGCCGATACAGCTCCAGCCCAGATAGAGCAGCAACACACCATTTTGGGTCTAATCTGACTCTTGTAAAGATAAAGCATGGCAGAAGGAGTCAGGTACTTTCTGGGGTGATAGAATGAGCCGATACAGCTCCAGCCCAGATAGAGCAGCAATACACCATTTTGGGTCTAATCTGACTCTTGTAAAGATAAAGCATGGCAGAAGGAATCAGGTACTTTCTGGAGTGATAGAATGAGCCGATACAGCTCCAGCCCAGATAGAGCAGCAATACACCATTTTGGGTCTAATCTGACTCTTGTAAAGATAAAGCATGGCAGAAGGAGTCAGGTACTTTCTGGGGTGATAGAATGAGCGATACAGCTCCAGCCCAGATAGAGCAGCAACACCATTTTGGGTCTAATCTGACTCTTGTAAAGATAAAGCATGGCAGAAGGAGTCAGGTACTTTCTGGAGTGGTACAAAGAAACAACAATTTTTCCACTATCTTTAGCAATGGATCATATATGAAAGTTTCAGTTGAGGGTCTGATGGAAGATTTACTCCCAATAGAGGTTTCAGGCAAGGAGTGTAAAATCATTCATCAAGAGGAGGAGGAAACTCAGGGCCTACTCTCTAATGATGAAACTTTACTAGTTTGCTTTGAGGGCTAACACTAAAATAGGGTCAAACTTTGTGAGGAGGCCCATATTTTCTAATGCTAACTATTAAATATATTTTAACTTACAAACATTTTTGCTCATATGTGTAGAAAAGGGAACATATATTATATATATATATATATATATATATATAGAAATATTAGTGGAAAAAATATACATACATATGAAAAATATATCAAACATGTATATTTTCAGAAAAAATTTTTCCAAGAGGAAGGATCCAGATAGAACTCAATGTCATAAGGATATAATTTAAACACTAATATTCCATGGTCATAATTTATTCCATTGAATATAAATATCCAAATCATCAGACCTACAAATTCAAAATGAAAACAGAAAAAAAACAAGGAAATCAAAACAGAATTTAGAGAAAGTGTAAGATGAGTGACAGAGAGAATTTTTGGAGATGGGTGGGGTGGATTTAAAAAGGAGAGAGAAAGTTTATGTCTAATACATAAAAGATACATTTCTGGGGTGACATATACACACCACAGACAATTCGGATAGGATTTGGGAAAAAAAAAAAAAAAAAAAAAAAAAAGGAAAGGGTGGGGAGAGGGATGGGACAAAAGGAAAATAAAATTGTGTTATCTTAAAATTTAAAATGTAAATATAAAATATATGAATTTATCATTTCGCAAGGACCAAATATATGTTCAAAACACATATAATACACAAAAAAAAAAACATATACAAGTAGGTACGGAATTTTGAATTTGTAGGTCTGATGATTTGACATTCCAATGGAATAAATTATGACCATGGAATATTAGTGTTTAAGCTTTTTTTATATATATATATATATATATATATATATATATATATATATATATACACACACACAGTTTTAAGGGTTTCAATTGTGTGGTTTTGGAGTTTAAGCCAACACATGCAACACAGATGGATGACCTTTATCATAAAATAGATTTTCTCTCTCACCTTGAAGGTAATCTCACACCACAACTGCTCAGCCTCATCAAAAATGTATTCATGGATGGCATTATCAAATGACTTGAGTGTCTGCAACAGAAAAAGGCAACTGATAAAAAGAAAAAACAAATGAAACATTTTAATGAGTTTCATCTCATATTTATAATCTTCAGCCAAGGCAGATCTCAATAATGTAACGGGTAGTCAGAAGTTTTCTCACTATGCAATAAATAAGGGCAGCTTAAGTAGTTGATTGATTTTGTTTAGTGGCATATCAACATCTTCATGGGTTATTTCATGCCGAAATCTTAATATTTTGTATACAATTTTATGCTTTCAGCTATTTTTTTTTTTTTTTTTTTTTTTTATACTTTTATGGTAAATGTGTATTTTTAGTTATACAATTTGTAGATAAAATTCATTGTTGGTAATTAAAAAAAAAAAAAAAAAAAAAAAAACAAACAATATATTACTGGTGATTTTACTATAAAAAATGTAATTTTTATACATTTTTTTAGTGTTGTATCGATTTAGTAAAAAAGTTTTACTAATTACACTGGTCAAGAAAAAAATGAAAAAAATAATTTTGAAATGGTATAGGACACCAAACATCTTTTTTGTTTAAATTGATGGCACTGAATCTGAAAATGACCAGACTTTTTCTTGGTTTAGCTACCATTTTTACTGTACAGAAATGCCTCTTTTTTTTTTTTTTCATTTATTTTCTGTATATGTGATATTGACTGATGACAATATTTCTCAAAATAAAATCATAGAAATCTCTCAATTTATATTTAAACCAACAAATATTTGGTCTGCTTATTGAGAAATGCTATTTTTGCAATAACAATCAGACCTTAAGTCTTTAAAAATAACACTATTGACTAAACAAAGACCAACAAGTATTTTCATCAAATCATTTAATAAACTAATAGCAGAAATAAAACCTTAATGAACATAAGAACTATGGTAAAAATTTTCTTTTTTGATTGTCTCTCATGTTCAATGTTATTTAAGTCCCTTTTGATACTCCAGTAGTACAATGGAATAGGAGCATTCAATTGGGATATCTTTAGTTAAAGTTTCTAACTGTGAAAATAAAATGCACTCAATGTGCTTGGTTTCCTTTCATAATGAAGGGGAAAAAAGTGATGGGATAAATTTATGAATATCAAAGAGAAGATTTTAGGGTTTCATTTTTTTACATTACCTTAATCAACAGGTTTACTATAAGTGTATTACTAATAAAGTTTATCAGTTAATTTGAATTTTGACGATAAATTGGAAAACTTCAGTACTTCTATTTTAAAATTTTTGACTCAAAAACACTTTTTTCTTATAAAAATTGTTTATTTCAGGTGGCTGACATAAAGTCTACCTGAAAATTAATGGGTTTCTATGACCCTTATTAACTAAATTTTGATCTTTTTTTCCAAAAATGAGCAATTTCAGTACAGCCAAAATTGTAGCTAACCATGAAAAACGAAGGTCATTTTCGGAATTAGCACCATCAAATTAGCTAAAAATTTGTTTTGCTTCTTGGCACCAAAATTGTGTTGACCAATGTTATTAACCCATAGCTGGTGTGAGAAGAGGTGGATTCAAACATTTCCCAAGATCATTTGTCCATAGGTGAATATAACAAATCTAAGTAGAAATTCTGAGCTAATATCCATTATACAATCTAGGTACTGACCAGGCTCAACGTTGCTTAACTTTGGTGATTGTACAGGAACCAATGTTTCAATGTGAAGTGTTGAAAATCCCTATAACGGATGGGGTATTTTATTTTATTTTTACACATGACCACCATATAAAAGTGCCAATCTGTACGACCAAGAAAGCTGTGAGGTTCCATAAATACCCAGGAAGGAACATGGTACAAAAACAAATGCTGTAAATAGAATCCCTTTGATCTTATAAGAACATTATTATAAGAAAAATGTTAAAATTGACAGCGTTTCACAAGGACAATATACAGAAAAAGTAACTTTGTATTTGTGTTTTTTTTTTCCCAAATACAGAAAAAAAAAAAAAAAAATGAGGAATTTTGTAAAAGTAAATAAGTTTTCCCTCGAGGTGACAGGACTTCATTTTATCTATGCATTGAACATTGCTGCCACATATGTTAAGGTGCTTCTGCTATATATATATATATATATATATATATATATATATATATATAAGAGAGAGAGAGAGATTCTTGACAAAACCCAAAAAAGAATCTGCAACGTTATCGGGTCTGACCTGGCATCACAACATCAGTCACTTTCCAATCGCCATAATGTATCTTCTCTGTGCCATTTCAATAAATACTTTCATATAAAGGGTTCTGATAAGCTATTAATTTTGGTACCTTGACTTCACAAACTTAAGCATTGTACTAGCTGTGGTATAATGGGCAACGGTTAGACATGCAAAATTGGAGAGCCAAGTTCAAATTCCAGTCAGGTTCGTTATCTTCCCTTACATGCAAATATCCTTGGTAAAGGTATCAATCCATCTCCCCCCTCCACAGCTGTGGGTTGAATAACAGGACAGACTGGGTCCTATATCCTTGGCTGGCTAGTCTACTGCAGAAAGAAAAGAACAGCTTACTGCATGAAAATTTTCTGCCGAGTCAGTCATGAATCAAAAGAGGCATGATCACTCAACGTGCATTGTGTATGGTACTTAACTGACTGACTAGATAGGCACCTACCTCTCATGATCTCACTGTTGAAATTTAGTTGCTATCTGTTTATATTTCTGAGATGAGGTATTATGTACCCTATTTACATTGCTCGGACTATTATGCTCATCTTTGTTGCCATATTTATCACGTCTTGTACGCTCCGGCCTTCTTCAGGTGGTTGGAATGTCGAAATGAACTCTTTATTTCGCTTGCTGGGGTAGGCTGTTCTAGTTCCACATGCCATATCTAATGGATGTCAGTCATCAGTTATCTCCTGTTAATACCGCTCTTCAAGTTCTCCACTGCCTTAACCAGGTTTTGAACTCTTTGGGTCCTGTCACAGGATCAAACTAACGCCTTTATCCACTGTGCCATGTGTCCTTGAGGACATCTGTGCATGAATTTCTGGATATTATAAACCTAATGTCTTCAGGAAATATTTTTTTTACCAGTACTCATATTGCAATTTTTGCTGTTATTATTTCTTTTCTCTAGCACTCCTTATTACTGGTTCCCATATGGTATTCATTTCTATGCTTGGTCAGCCCAGGAGATTTTTGTGGCCTAGCATATGTGCTGATTCCTTAAGTTTACAAATTTTCCAATGATGTTCTTTGTCTATGATTTCAACCTGATTCCACAGAGTGTGGTGATCTCCCTTTTCTCTCCATGTGTGGTCATCCACGCCCGATTTTTCTACTTCCCCTCGTATTACAGCTTTTTGGTGTTCTTGAAGTCTTACCTTGAGTGGGGGGGGGGCGGCTTGTCTCCATTTTATATTTCTTTCCGCAGCTGCACGGGATGGAGTACACACAGTCTTTAGTCATGTTCTCCTCTGGAGGTGGAGGTGGAGGTGGAGGTGGAGGTGGGGGGGGTCTTACTTGGGAGAGGAATCTGCGAAGTGTCATCCAGTTTTTGAAGGTTGTCCTGATGTTATATGGACTGCAGATCCTTTGTATTTTCTCTGATAACCCCCTTCACATAAGGCAGACAGACTGTTTTCTGAGTGTTGTCGCCCTCCTCCTCATGTACCTGCCTATCCCAGTTTATTGCTAGTTGTTAATAGTTTATTTTCTTTACTTTGTGTCTGTGGAACGCTCTTCTGGCTTTTTGTCAACTATGATCTCCAAAAATTTAAATGCAACAATAATTGTCATCTTTTGTTTCCTTGAATCCTGTTCTTTTTATCGTCTTAGTGGCTTTATTATCTTGCTTGGGGTGAAATGATTAAAAAAGTGTTTTTAAGGAAAACCACTTTCATTCCCCGACTCCGATGAATCAACCAATATGAAAATATGTCAATGGATTATTGTAAACAAGTTAATTTCATATTGCATCCAATAAATAACGCATGTTTCAAGAATAAATACATTTCAACATGTAATACGGAAATTATATTTGTAAATTAGTGAGAAAATTCTTTTGTTCTAGTTACAAAAACTTGACACTATGAAACATCTGGTGTCCCACATAGAAATAACGAGGACTTGTAGTTCGTTGATTTTTGAACATGTTAACCCCTGTTCTGCTCATTAATGTCATTATCGGTCTTTTTCTCAGCAGAAGGAACAGTCCAACATGCAAATCACAAATCAGAGATACCAAAATCAAACAAGTACAACAATTTAAATATCTTGGAAGTGTTTTAACAGAGGTTTGGTTTGTTTTTTTTTGTTTTACGGCATTCAACCTCAATGAGTTATTTAATGCCGACAAAATTTTCATTGTTGGTAATATTTTTTCCTTCAAAAACCTATTTCTGGCAAGAATTTTCTTTCACTGGTAATATTTTTTTAAAAAAATGTATTGTTGGTAATAATTTTTTTTTTTTTTTTTTACAAAGTATTTCTAGTATTAAAACCTATTTTTACATTTTCATGGTGTTTTTACCAGAGTTTGGGGGTTAACTATTTGCCCATAGCTGGGACCCTAAAAGGTGCTACCACCCCAGGTCAGGGTGGACCTGAGAACATCAGCAATTAAGAGGTGGTTCCACGCTCCTCAAAACCTCCTGATCCTTGCTGTTGGATGTAGTTTATCATCTTACCCAGGACGCAAGTGTAGTTTATCGTTATACCCAGGACGGATTTTAACAGAGGATGGAAAGTGCGACATGGAAAAGCGAAGGCACATTGGGATAGCAAAAAATGGCTTCCAAAATCTAAGCAAAGTATTAAGAAACAAGAAAATTTTGTTAGAAACAAAAAAAAAAAAAGTACTAAACTGTTATGTAATATCAGTCCTCCTATATGGCAGTGAATGCTGTACAGTGTCCTCAGAGATGAGATTTGAAGTAACAGAAATGTGGCTCTACAGAAGGATGCTGAGAATATCATGGACCAAACGTGAGCTACAATGGAGTTTTATGAAAAAAAACTAGCAATAAAAAGGACACATATACTTAACATCAGAAAGAGATAGCTGAAATTTCTAGGGTATATAATGAGGAAAGAGAGCTTGGCAAATTTGATACTTACAAAACAGATTGAATGCAAGAGGGAAAACAATGCATAACCTACCTAGCGAGCTTGAGTAAATAGATGGCAGAACAGGGTTTAGGAGAAATAACAAAAAGGCAAAAATTATTAAGAGCTACAAAGGAAAGGAGATAGTGGAGAGCCATGATCGCCTATGTATTGAAGGGACACAACACATAGAAGAAGAAGAATGAGAATGAGTAAATGGATGGCAGAACAAGGTTTAGGAGAAATAACAAAAAAACAAAATTTATTAAGAGCTACAAAGGACAGGAAATTGTGGAGAGCCATGATCGCCTACGTCCTTAAGGGATACAGCACATGAAAGTAGAATGATCTTGAGTAAATGGATGGCAGAAAAGGGTTTAAGGGAATTAAAAAAAAATGACAAAATTTATTAAGAGCTATGAAGAACAGGAAAATGTGGAGAGCCAGGATTGCCTATAAAACTGTATGCTAAAAACTTGCTTATGTATCAACAACATTTACTTTCAAAAAATTGGGTGGGCATTTGAAAAATGTTCTTGATAATGTAATAAAGGTTGTCAACCATATCAAGTCAAATCCACTCGAAGATTTGAGTCCCCCCCCCATCTACTTTGGGCTGATAATGAAGAGTTTAAAAACTTAATACAAGTTAAATGGCTTTCTAAAGGTAATTGTCTGGGTCATTTTGTTGAACTATGGCAAAGTGTTGAATTATTTCTGAATGGCACTGAGCTTTGGGAAGAAATCATAGCTGCTTTCAGATATATTTGAGAAACTAAATATGTTTAACAAGCAGCTACGATGAAAAGATGCAAATATTTTAAATTGCAAAGAGGCAATCGGTGCTTTTCTCGGAAAACTGTGTTCAGGATTAATATCAGGCATTAGGAATTGCTACATTTTCCAAATCTTGCCAATCTTGAGGAGTTGCATGAAGATGTTTTAATTTACATCAATCATTCGAAAAAAATTGCATGATTATATGGAAACAAGGTTCAAAGATCTTTTAGAGATGGAAATTCCAAGTTGAGTGGCAGATCAAAGTTAATCACAGTTAATTTTCCATTGCTCTGGGAAAAAGTTAAATTATATATGATTGCCTTTCAACAACTTACCTCATAGAATCAAGATTTAGCAGAGTGTCTCAACTACAATCAAAAGCTAGAAACCGCTTAGAAATCATAAGAGGAGATCTGCATCTGTCTTTGACAAGCATGGTTCCTAATACAGAAAAACTTGCAAAGATGCATTATGGACAAGGATCTTTTTGTTTTTTAAGTATTTCGCCCCAAGCAAGGCGAGAGTGCCACTAGCACGCAAGGGTTTACAGAGATTGGGAGCAAGAGTAAAGAGGCGTGATAGAGGAAAGGATGAAGAGAAGGATGGGGAATAGATCAAGGCATCTGGACATATCGATTGACATTGCATTTGAATATTTGGAGATTATAGCTATCAGGGAAGCAAGTAAGAGGAAGGGAGTTTCACAGATGGGATGCGTGAGACATGAAGCTATTGGAGTAGAAGAGATGGCTATATTTAACCATTTAACCATTTCAACAGTGAAAAGGTGAGACTGAGATGCCAACCCAGTAGCATGTTTAAATTCATGTAGTTTGGGAATCAGTGAAAGTAGCTCGTCTGAGCAGTTACTGTGAAAAAATAAATGTATTTGAAACCAATTTTCTTTCTTATTTTGAAATTGGTTTTATATTTTGAAGCTAAAGTATTGTTTCTTTTGGTCTTAAGCATTTTTTTTGCTTGTGAAAGTTTTTGGGTTTTGTGCCATATATATATATATATATATATATATATAATTTGGTATTGTTTCAAGAAAATCTTTAATTATTTTGACTTATTTAGATAATTTATTTTTTGGATCCATTAGTCTAATTTGTAGAAATGTGAAATAGCAGATAACAATAATGCTTATTATGAATGCTGTAGGTTTTCTCAAACTGTACCAAATTATTTCAACAGGTGAAAAAAAAAAAAAAAAACAGTCAATTTAATTATTATTAATATAAACATTAGAAAATTTTCTCTCATATTTCTACCATGTTCAGCAAATGTCTAACTGAAAATTTTGTTAATATAGAAATTTCAGTCAAGTAAAAGAACTTCGATGACAACTTAATTTTTTTCTGTTGATAGGATGTGTATTCAGCTAGTTATTTAAAAAAATATTTTGAATCCACTTTAATAATATTCAAATGGATAGCAATAAAACTCACAAAAAGATAAAAAAAAGAAAGAGATGAAAAAAAAAAGATGAAAAAAAAAGAGATGAAAAACAAAGATGAAAAAAAATAGATGAAAAAAAGATGAAAAAGAAAGATGAAAAAGAAAAGATGAAAAAGAAAGATGAAAAAGAAAGAGATGAAAAAGAAAGATGAAAAAGAGATGAAAAAGAAAAAAAGATATGAAAAAAGATGAAAAAGAAAGATAAAAAAGAAAGAGATGAAAAAAAAAGAGAGATAGAGATGAAAAAAAGATGAAAAAAAAGAAAGATGAAAAAAAGAGATGAAAAAAAGAAAGAGATGAAAAAAAAGAAAGATGAAAAAAAGAAAGAGATGAAAAAAAAGATGAAAAAAAGAAAGATGAAAAAAGATGAAAAAAGAAAGAAAGATGAAAAAAGAAATTTAAAAAAAAGATGAAAAAAAAGAGATGAAAAAAAAGATGAAAAAAAAGAAAGATGAAAAAAAAAGATATGAAAAAAAAAGATATGAAAAAAAGAAAGATGAAAAAAGAAAGATGAAAAAAAAGAAAGATGAAAAAAAGAGATGAAAAAAAGAAAGATGAAAAAAAGAAAGAGATGAAAAAAGAAAGAGATGAAAAAAAAGATGAAAAAAAGATGAAAAAGAAAGAGATGAAAAAAAGATGAAAAAAAAGATGAAAAAAAGAAAGATGAAAAAAAGAAAGATGAAAAAAAAAAGATGAAAAAAAAAGATGAAAAAAGAAAGATGAAAAGAGATGAAAAAAGAAAGATGAAAAAAAGAGATGAAAAAAAAGAAAGATGAAAAAAAGATGAAAAAGAAAGAGATGAAAAAAAAGAAAGAGATGAAAAAAAGAAAGATGAAAAAAAAAGAAAGATGAAAAAAAAAGAAAGATGAAAAAAAAGAAAGATGAAAAAAAGAGATGAAAAAAAAGAAAGAGATGAAAAAAAGATGAAAAAAAGAAAGTTGAAAAAAGAAAGATGAAAAAAAAGAAAGAGATGAAAAAAAAGAAAGATAAAAAAAAGAGATGAAAAAAAGAAAGATGAAAAAAAAGAAAGATGAAAAAAAGAGATGAAAAAAGAAAGATGAAAAAAAGAGATGAAAAAAAGAGATGAAAAAAGAAAGATGAAAAAAAGAGATGAAAAAAAGAAAGAGATGAAAAAAGAAAGATGAAAAAAAGAAAGAGATGAAAAAAGAGATGAAAAAAAGAAAGATGAAAAAAGATGAAAAAAGAAAGATGAAAAAAAGAAAGTTGAAAAAAAGAAAGATGAAAAAAAAAAGAGATGAAAAAAAAAGAGATGAAAAAAAAGAGATGAAAAAAAGAAAGAGATGAAAAAAAAGATGAAAAAAAAGAAAGATGAAAAAAAAAAGAAAGATGAAAAAAAAAAAAAGAGATGGAAAAAAAAAGAAAGAGATGAAAAAAAAAAAAAAGAAAGAGATGAAAAAAAAAAAAAAAGAAAGAGATGAAAAAAAAAAAAAAGAAAGAGATGAAAAAAATATAATCCTTTCCCAAAGATAAAAGAGGAAAACTAATTTTAAAAACAATGATGAAAGAAAATGAGAGTGAAAGCCTGAAAAAGAAAGCATAAAAAAATGTGAAAAGGTTACAGAGAAACAATTCATCAAGACAAATCTTTAAAGGCCACAATAGTTACTTACTTTTCTTCTTTTGGAAGCTTTTACAGACGAAGATTTGACAGCAGGTGTCCTTGCTTCAGAAATATCCTCCTCCTCCTCCTCCTCATCTTTGTCATCATCTTCATCTTAAAAAAAAAAAAAAAAAAAAAAATTTTTATATTAATTTATCTATTGCAGATTATTCTTCCAAAACTCAAACAACCTTACAAACTGAGAGATTCAAAACCATTTACTTGAATGCAATTCTCCCGTAATCTGCAATTCTCCTGTAATCTGCATTTAGCCACCAACAATTTTGCAAAAATATTATAACTCAAGTTTCACAAAGAAGAACGATAGAAAAGAGATATTTATCACAAGGAAAAACTTTTTAGTTCTTGAAAATTAAAGATAATTAAAAAAAAAAAAAACAAATATTTCCAGTTAATAGAAAATTAATTTCATTTATATGAAATATTGCCAACTGCTAGATTAAAAAAAAAAAAAAGAGAGAGAGAGAGAGAGAGAGACAAGGTGCCAAAAAGTTCTTGGCCCAACTAAATATCAGACTTTTGCACTTTTTGTGGAAAGTCTTCTTGAGTGGGAAAACTTTTCACAAGACTAGTTTTCTTATTACTCTTTAACTCAATGGTTAAATGTGTTGGGGCAGGGGGCTATGTTGATGACATAGGTATTCATAGTTGTGAAAAGAATGATCTAGAACAGAAAGAAAAAAGAGAAGAAATCAATATTCTCTACTAAGTCTTCCAAGAAACAGGACTCAAGATCAACTTTTTCCAAAACAGAAAATATGGAAACTTCAGGATGTGGAATTAGTAAACAAATTTCATATAGGAGATAAGAAAATTGAACACAGAATAGGCTGTGCTCAGAGTAGCTTGGCACAACATCAGAAGTTGCTATAAAATTAAAGGATTAACCTAAAATCTCTAGTTATGTTCTTAAATAGCCTTGTCAGATCAAGACTTTCATATGGATGGCATGCATGGAACCAAGCCTATTCAGAAATATCTAAACTGTCACCTGTATACAACCACTTTCTCAAAGATAGTTAAAGATGTCTTTGAGCGAAGCCTTGTAGGCGGCTGCTACATCATCATAAAAAACTGTACCAAAATAACAGAAACCACATCATTTGAGGACTTTCAACAGCAGCAACTGAAACAGATATCATCACATGTAACTCAAAAAGAAAATAATGACATAATCAAGATGTTGACTTTCCACACTACAAGCAAAAGGTTAGGAAGGAAAACCCTTGTTAATAATGGAAAGAGCCAGAACAGTTACTAAACTTGAGAACCCTATTTTCCTGGAAAAAAAAAAAAAAAAAGAAAAAAATTGTTTTAAGGGAAAGATTTTGTAAATTTAAACTGATGATAGCACTGGTTGCTCGGTCAATGATTGCTGAATATTTCCTTTTAAGGAAATGGCTAATATTATTACCATTAGAGATGAAAACAGATACTACACTTTGATCCCAGCCTGACAGCCAGGGAATTAATAAAAGCATAACTCCAGTGCACTAGCTGCTTTGTCAATGATTGGTTGTTTTAGCAGTATATCAACCTCTATGGGATATTTAATGCTGAAATCTAAATATTTTGTATGCAATTTTATTTTACTTTTTGGTAATAATAACAGTTTAGTGATACAACTCTTACTAATTAACCCATAAGTTGGGGAAGAAGAGGTGAATTTATACCTTTCCCAAGGGTATTTACATGTAAGTGAATATAATGAATCCAACTGAAATTTGAACTCTGCTTTCCTATTAACAATTCTGAACCATTATTGATTATAGCAACTGCACATCAAAGCTTACAGGATCTGATGTTCCCAAGTGGTCACACAGCTAGGTACTGACCATGCTTGTCGTTGCTTAACTTCAGTATTGTATATGTTTCAACTTGATGTGACTGCAAGCCCCTTGGTCAATGAATGCTGATATTTATAGCCTGTTCACCCAAGTGTCTTAATAAATAAAATTTACCTTCCAGCAGGTTTCAAACTTGCACCCCAGCCCATAGGAGAAATCACCGTATTTAAGCTAGTGAACATCTTTTCTTCAGATTTCCCAAAGGCCATTTCAGTTAACTATCATTTTCACATCAGAGACATAAACAAAGTAATTTCTAAGAAATTAATTGATTTTTGTTATTTATAATCCAACATGTAGTAATTTGTAATAATGTCAGATCATAAATAAAATAAATCCATTATTTTTATTTATAAATATATATTACTAATAAATATACATTCACCCCCACTAGCACGACTCAGAGTTTCATGCACAATGTAATCGTCAGATGTGGATTGAAAGTAGTTGCATAATTTAAATATTGACATTTATACCATACTGTAATGATAGTAGAGCAGTTCATTTACTTATGGGGGTGGGGTAATAAAATAATAATATTCGCACATATAGTCCCATATCTGCGACACTGAGATCTATCAGAGGTTGATCAAACTAAATGAGAAAGAAGGAAGAGGAGAGAGTTTCTTAATTGGATGATAATTGTTGAAATTGCAGGAAGATGGATTGAAAAGTTAAGAAAATCAAAAATGAAATGTGTTGAAAAATCATGTTATGAGATAATTCTAAGGAGAATTGAATCCAAATTCAACTAGACGAAATTCAGTAAGATTGAGCAATCCCAAGACAGCCTGTCCTTCCCCACTTTTTCCACTGATAAGAAAGACACCATTAAGGTATCCACAAAGATGTCAAATGAAATTAGATCATATGTTGCTGATACTGGGTGGTCACCGAAATAACATTCACAATATCTCAAATAATAATAAAAATAAAAAAAAAAAAGCATCGGTTTCGAATCAGCCACCCAGAAGAAAAGTACCCCCATGCATTCATTATGATAACTAAGGTTCGTTAAGTTTTTTGAATTTTCATATACTTGTATTTTGATTGGTCATTCCAGCTTATGTAACAGCATTTACTCTATTGAGGGGTGTTTGGTTGATTTGAACTTTTTAAAACCTTTTATTCTACATTCAACACTATCACTTGATAAGACACCGAATGTGTTGAAACAAAATGGCTATTTTTGTAGTGATTTTATAACATATTTATGTTATAATTTTCGAATAAATTATATTTGCTCTACTCTGTATTGAGAACTCTTTTAAGAATAGTATTTTTTGGTTATTGGAATTTATTTTGGATACACCAATCCTATACTTGGGGGGGTGTGTGTGTATATATATAAGCCAGTGCATTATTGTTTCCATGTGAAAAACCTTGTGTTTCCCACATCGAGACAATAATGCAACTGGGCTCTCACCACCATTCCAGAACTGCCAGAAAAAAAAAAAAAAATAAGCTCTTCTAAAATGACTAAAACCATTGACTTACTCTCACTGTTTGATTCTTGTGAAGTTATTCCATCATCATCATCATCATCGTTGTTGTTGTTATCATCCTCATCATCATCATAATCCTGTTCATCTTGATGCTTTCTTGATTTCACCCCACTTTCTTCATCAGATAATTCATCATAGTCATCATCATCATCATCATCATCATTAGAAGCAGTAACCTTGTCCTTGGAGGTGTTACTGTCATCCATGTTAGCGTTATCTGCTCCAGTCTCTTCTCTTTCACCTTCCTCTGTGTCATCATCTTTGCTTCCAGCGCCGTTTACCATATGTGCACTAGATGTTCGTAGCAGTTTTCCAGGCAGTTTCAGACTGTATTAAAGAAATCAAATTATGGAACCAAATTTGGTATAGTTATATAAAGAGAAAAAGACATGCATTACACAAAACTCTTTACTAAAAACATTTTTCTCTTCCTTGAAAGAAAAATTAAGAGTTTTATATAAAGGTTTATGAAGAATATATTTTAATAAGTATATAGCATAAATTTGAATAATATAGCATATATTGTAGATATGTAATTGTAAGAAATTAAAATAATTTATTTTCTTTCGTGTATAACATACATTCTAAGACAAGGGTACATATAGGCTTTTTCGTCGATGGCATTGACTGGCAATGGAAAAAGTCATTATCGTAAAACACAGCACCACTTATAGCTATTAGGTTGGTGCAAAAATAATGACGTAATAATGTTGATTTTGGACGTATTTTTTAACGTCAAAAAACGGCATCATTACGTCATTATTTTTGCACCAACCTAATAAAACAACCAATGTGCAATCTGCACTGTTTTTAACATTGACCACTGTAGCAGAATACTGAGTCATCCACCAAGGGGCATTTGCATCTTTGTCTATCCTCTATGGCATGATGGAGTCTATTCTCTTCATAGCTCTTTGCTCCTGCAAAAACAGCAGCTCTCCACCCGACTCAATCCCAGGCAACTATGTCCACATTCATAACATTGATAGAAAATTCCATCAGGGACATTTTATATTGGGCCTTGAAGTGAGGCATCAACGTTACACATGCTCTCAGACAGTTCCCCATTCATCCAACGTTACACATGCTCTCAGACAGTTCCCCATTCATCCAACGTTACACATGCTCTCAGACAGTTCCCCATTCATCCAACGACATGCTCTCAGACAGTTCCCCATTCATCCAACGTTACACATGCTCTCAGACAGTTCCCCATTCATCCAACGTTACACATGCTCTCAGACAGTTCCCCATTCATCCAACGTTACACATGCTCTCAGACAGTTCCCCATTCATCCAACGTTACACATGCTCTCAGACAGTTCCCCCCCATTCATCCAACGTTCCCCATTACACATGCTCTCAGACAGTTCCCCATTCATCCAACGTTACACATGCTCTCAGACAGTTCCCCATTCATCCAACGTTACACATGCTCTCAGACAGTTCCCCATTCATCCAACGTTACACATGCTCTCAGACAGTTCCCCATTCATCCAACGTTACACATGCTCTCAGACAGTTCCCCATTCATCCAACGTTACACATGCTCTCAGACAGTTCCCCATTCATCCAACGTTACACATGCTCTCAGACAGTTCCCCATTCATCCAACGTTACACATGCTCTCAGACAGTTCCCCATTCATCCAACGTTACACATGCTCTCAGACAGTTCCCCATACAGTACCTGTTTAGGAATTCTAGAGTTATCCATGCATGCAATGTGCTCAAGCCAACGGAGACACCAAGGCCACAGGATAGGATATAGTGACTAAATGCCAGCTCTTTTAAGCACTTCTGTATCCAGAACCTTATCTTGCCATTTAATTTTTTAAATATTTCTCAAAAATCTCATGTGAAAACTATTTAACCTCCTCTCCTGATCAGCATCCAAGGTCAACATCTCACTCCCATAAAGGATTGTTGAGAGGATACATTTTTGGTAAATTAGAGTCTTGGTTTTTATCCTAAGTTTATCACTTTCCCATGCTTTTTTCATAAGTTCCTTAAATGCAGCTATGGCCTTTCCTATTCTGCTTGTCAGTTCCTCATCCATAGATAGGGTTAATGTGGAATTAGAACAGTCTACCCCCATAAATTAAATAGAGAGTTTATTTCAGAATTCCCTGTAGATTACCCAGATCGATATACACATAAGGGAAGCAAGAGGATACAATGACAAAAACAACAAAGATGAGGACAATAGTCTGAATATAAATAGTGTAAATCAATTCTTCATTCCCAAAAGTCAAGCAAAAACTATTAAAAGACCTTGTTTTCTACATGGTTCATGTGCAAGGCACCATATATATATATATATATATATATATATATATATATATATATAAAAACACAGTGTGATGGGTGAATTGGCACCATTTTATATTTTTAATTTTGTGCATTGTTTGTTTTTGTTGACTGCACAGTATAGCAGGGTCAGTTGGGCACAGTCTGTGAGAAAAAGAGCACCATGACAATTCATTCCACCAGAAATTTGGAAACTGCATGCTGTACAGTTTGGCATTTATGCTAGAAGCTCCAATACAAACATTCCAGAGTGTTTGGATGTCAATCTGAGGACAGTGCAAAGAATTCGGAAAGAGTTGGATGAATCTAATGAGAGTTTATGAAGGTACAGCAGCTCCATAAACACCACTTTCATTATCGTGATAAGAAAAGAACTCCTGAATTTGTTGGTGAAAGCCTCAGATTCAATATGGAGGCCTACATCAAATGCCTTGATGAAATAATGCTGCCCTGGGTCCACAGGGTGGCTGCTGGAAGACACTATGTCTGGCAACAGGACTCTGCAGCATAGCACACAAGCAGGAGAACACAGTCATGGCTGTCAGACAATTCCTGCAATCACATCACCCCTTATATCTGCAACTCCCTCGATTATAATTATTTGTAGGGTGCAGATAAGAGACAGACCAACAAAACTTGTAACACCAAAGATGAACTGAAGGCAAGGATTATGGCAGCATTCACCAACTGAAACAAAGAGAACACCCAGAAGAGTTGCAGGAGATTCCAAAGTTGTCTGGAGGCCATGGTTAAAGCCAATGGTGATTTTATTGATTAAATTTACTCTTTAGTATTTCAAGATATTTTTGTACAATTTTAGTAAATATGTGTGTTAAAATCAGATGTCAGTGTTATTTTCATTTTTGCATAATTCAGGTGACAATTTATTTATCGCATATATATATATATATATATATATATATACATACACACACGGCGTTTGAACTAACTTGTATAGTTTCACACTTGGCGGCAACTGAGTTGAAGATTGAAACACCCTTAATAGAAAACAGCTCTAAATGAGAAAGCACTTTTCATTTTTATTATACAGCAGATATCTCTACATATATACAGAACTTTAGACATCATGACTTACACTGTGTCCTGTGTTTGATTTACATCAGACTTCAGTTGGGTTACCAGAGATGGTAAATATTCTTTTTCCATGTGTCTGAGAATGTTAGCAGGATCTGTTGGGAGTTTGTTTTCATAGACAGAAGGTGGTAAAAACTGGAACTTCACAATATACAGACGATGGTGCATGCTGCAAAGAATAAGAACAAAATGGAAGCTGTTATTAAGAAGGAATTAGCAAATGTGTTTGACTGTGCAAAAATGTCTTTATTAATGATGAAATTATGTTTTTCATTAATAATATTTGATTATATTCAAAAATCAATTCCTTTTGGAAAAAAAAAAAATGCAACCTTTCCATTTTGGTATACCTAATAAACAATTGTATGTGGGGGGACACAATGGCTATTGGCATAGAGAAATGGAATTGGCAAGCCAAGTTCAATTTTTAGGCTAGTCTATTGTATTCACTTTCACACTAATGCCATTGGGGAAAAAAGGAATCCATTTTTCAAATTCTACTGGTTAAATAGCAGTGTTGGCTGGGCCCACATCTTGTATGGCAATCAGTCTAAGAGAAAGACAACTCTGAATTCAAATATATGGAGAAGGTAATGGGAAATAAGTTCACTATCTTAAGCAAGAAGTTATGGCAATTCACAAATAAAGGAAAAAAAATCTGCAGAGATCCATGATTGCCTACGTCCTGAAAGGACATGACAAAAGACGAGACAAGACAAAAGACGAGACCTTGACAAAGGACGGGCAGACCAAGACAAGACAAAGGACGGGCGGACCGAGACAAGACAAGACAAAGGACGGGCGGACCGAGACAAGACAAGACAAAGGACGGACGGACCGAGACAAGACAAGACAAGAGACGGACGGACCGAAACAAGACAAGAGACGGACGGACCGAGACAAGACAAGAGACGGACGGACAGACAGACGGACGGACCGAGACAAGACAAGAGACGGACGGACGGACGGACCGAGACAAGACAAGAGACGGACGGACCGACCGAGACAAGACAAAAGAGACGGACGGACGGACCGAGACAAGACAAGAGACGGATGGACCGACCGAGACAAGACAAGAGACGGACGGACGGATGGACCGAGACAAGACAAGAGACGGACCGAGACAAGACAAGAGACGGACGGACGGACCGAGACAAGACAAGAGACGGACGGACGGACCGAGACAAGACAAGAGACGGACGGACGGACCGAGACAAGACAAGAGACGGACGGACGGACGGAGACAAGACAAGAGACGGACGGACGGACGGACCGAGACAAGACAAGAGACGGACGGACGGACGGACGAACGGAGACAAGACAAGAGACGGACGGACGGAGACAAGACAAGAGACAGAGCAAGACAAAAGACGGCACAAGACTAGATGAGACAAAAGATGACACAAGACAAGCCAAAAGACAGGAAGTCATTAGGAGACAAGACATGAGAAACCATGTTACAGTTTTGCTTGAATCACGGAGACAAGACAAGAGACGGACGGACGGACGGACGGAGACAAGACAAGAGACGGACGGACGGACGGACCGAGACAAGACAAGAGACGGACGGACGGACCGAGACAAGACAAGAGACAGAGCAAGACAAAAGACGGCACAAGACTAGATGAGACAAAAGATGACACAAGACAAGCCAAAAGACAGGAAGTCATTAGGAGACAAGACATGAGAAACCATGTTACAGTTTTGCTTGAATAACCCAGTTGAGTAACGTCTTTACACGAGAGGTAATGGGAAATAAATCAACTATCTTAACCAAGAAGTCATGGCAATTCACAAATAAAGGAAAAAAAAATCTGCAGAGACCCATGATTGCCTCCATCCTGAAAGAACATGATAAAAGATGGCACAAGATGAGACAAAAGATGGGACAAAAGACAGGAAGACATGTTGAGGCAAGACATGAAAAGACAAGTGTTAGTTTTGGTTGGATAACCCAGTTGTGTATTATGTCATTACACTAGAGTTGTCAACAAAATCCTTAACAAATTTTTTAAGCTGCAGATTTATGCAAACAGATATTTAAAAAGGACACCAGGAAAAATGTTGCTTTTAGTTTTCATGTTTTTTTTTTAGAGACCTACCTGGAAAATATACTTATGTATATAATTATTTCAAATCCTTGTTCATATTTTGCTTCTTATAGATGTTATTACAAACAACATTTCAGTCAAGTATTCTCTGGCCATTTTTTGGTGTCCATTGTTTGTCTGAGACGTGATATCTGTTGATTATTGTGTTATTTTCTCCCTAATGCCAGATTTTGTTCATTCCTGCTAAACCAGTGTATATTCTTCCTTTCTAAGGATTGAACTCATAATCACTAGATGACATTAATACATGACTGACCAATTCTGATACCCATGATGCCACCATCCCAAAGGGCATCAGTAGTGTGTATTTTTGGAGCTTTTACATTAAATATCAGATGGTGTTGACATTTGGTTATCACAACAGGTTTGTACTGCTTTTGATAATTTTATATTTCATTTTTGATACGAAAAAGTTTGACCATATTTTTATTACCCTATTATAATTGTGCTTGTCACTCCATTCGTTAGTTTGCATGATTGCTACGCCCTGCCAATACCTTATAAATAATAGACTATTCCGTTTTAATTGCACAAGAAGACAAAGATATCAAAGACGCTACTTGCTTTCAGTGAGAAAATGAAAGAAAGAAGGGAAGATAGAAGCGTTTAAGTGAAATGGCAAAAGTTGCAATTTCAAATCTTCCCACTTCTTAAAATAACGACTAGCATTCATATCTATAATGGTTATTGCAATATTTTGTTAAAGTTGTTAAGCTGAAATATTTAATGATGAGATAAGGGGAATTTCTCCAAAAAAAATTTTATTGTCATAGAACTTGCCATGAGATTACTCAATTAACGTCAGAAATTTCAAATAGGAAAACCGTGAAATTTTCATGGGTTAAATCAAGTTTCAAATTATTGTTCTCACCTTGATTATGATAGATGTTATTATAGACACATTGTTTCAACAAAAGCGTACTTCACCAAAATTATCAATAGATACCCCTTATCAGCTAAACAATGGACACCTGAAGATTGCCTGAGGGTACTTGATCGAAACGTTGTGTCTAGAATAACATCTGTAATAATAGTTTGGAATAATTTTATTGACAATTCTTCATCTAAAAAAAATAAAAAAAAAAAAATAAAATTACATGGTTGGGGTGTGGGGGATACTTACCGGTCTTGCATGCTGATTTTCTCTGTGATTTCAACTTTTTCCAGCACCTGCGAAAAAAAACAAAAGAAGTTCAGGAACTGTTTCAGTGTTACAACCGTATGCCACTTTCTCATAACCATTCATACACAAACCCAAGTTTGTACTGAATTAGTTGAAGTTCAAGTCTTAGAGTGCTTTATTAATATGATCTCCTGGCAAAGTAAGCTTAATAAATATCAATATTTACAATGAAATCAATATCTCTAGATGTACAGTACAAGCAACGGGCCAGATATGGCAACAGCATTCAATGCATGGCAGACTGAAAAGGTTCTCTTTGGTGGTTAAATGAAAGTAGTTTTGTTTTGGACAAATTCAAATTAACAAACCAATTCCTGCTCCACTTAACCACTGATTGGAGTTTGTTTTCAAGAGCAACTGCCAGGTTTACTTTATCAGATCTGATGGAATTGCTATTTTGACAGGTGTAAATGGTAGTGTCATCTGCATAAATACCTAGAATTGATGACAAAAGATGAAGGGATTCAAGAAGACAGAAGATGGTGATTGATGCTGCATTTACATTTTTGAAGATTGTAGTTATCAGGGAAGCAAGAAATAGGAAGGTAGTTCCACAGATGGAAAATGCGAGGAAAGAAAATGTTGGAGTAGACATGACGGATCTATTTAGCTATTTCAACAGTAAACGGGTTGTAAATAGATGCCACTTAAATTCATGTAATAGAGGCACCAGGGAAAAAAGCTTGTCAAAAGAATTGCCATGAAAATATTTATAGAAAAGGCAGAGGGAAGTCACATCAGATTGGTGAAGACTGAGATGCCTGATCAGGGTTGATTACATAAAAGATCCTTCTTTTGTCAAGAATTTCAAAATGTACAGCAAGAGCACAAACCAGATCTAGCAACAATGCACAGATAAATAGAAAATTATATAAAGAAAGGTAATTTTGTGCCAAGTACAAAAGATTGGCAGTTACTGCATTTTTTATCATTTTTATCAAGATCAGATTTTTTTTTTTTTTTAAAATCATTTCACTCCAAGCAAGACAGTAATGGGACTAGAATGCACGAGGCTAAAGGAAGTGAAAAAGAAAGAGAAGACTGAGACTAGGGAGGATTGAAGAAAGGACAAAAAAAAAAAAAAAAAAAAAGGGACAGGATTCAAGAAGACAGAAAATGGCAATTGATGTTGCATTTAAATTTTTGAAGATTGTAGTTGACAGGGAAGCAAAAAATCAGAAAGGAGTTCAACAGGCAGGAAGTGCGAGAAAAGGAACTGTTAGAATAGAAGTGGCAGATAATTCAACAGTAAAACAGTGGGACCTAGTTGCCAATCTAGTAGCAAGCTTAGATTCATGTAGTCAGGGTACCAGAGAAAAAAGCTCATCAGATCAGTTGCCACAAAAATATTTATAAAAAAAAAACAGAAGGCAATTACATCACATCAGTGAGAAAGTAACTGAAGTTGAGATCCTTGGTCAGAATCGATTACATTACAAATCCTTCTTTGGATTTTAAGAATTTCAAGATGCACAGCAGAAACACCGGATCTGATATGGCAATAGTATTAAATGCACGGATGAATGGCAAGTTTTGAAATGTTCAGGATGGATTCGGATGTGAAAAATTTTCTGGCATGACAGCGACCCAACTTTTCTTGCAGTAGACGAAGAAATTGATTCGATAAAGTCACTCCATTTCATGTCAGTGGAAAACATGAGGTCAAGAAGGCATAGTGAGTTGCTTTCCTGGAGTCTAGTGTCAGTCATAATGATGGCAGGCAGAAAAGGTTCTCTGTCATGGGTAAATTATAGCAGTTTTGTTTTGAAGGTATTAAAATTTACAAGCTATTTCTTGCCCCAGTTAACCACTGATTGGAGGTCATTTTCAAGAGCAGCTGCCAGGTTTACTTTGTTAAATCTGACTGATTTGCTATTGAGACAGGAGTAAATGGTATTTATACTTATGCTTGGCCTACTGAGAAGGCCAGAGTATTCAGTAGCTGAAATCTTATGATAGTAACAAAGATGAGAACATTAATCTGACTGTAATTAATGTTAATTCCTCATCCCAGAAATTCAGATTGCAGTTAATTAGGAGAGAAGAAGAAGCATGAAATAAGAAAGACGTTTTTACACTAGCTCCTTAATCATTTACTGTGTCATATCTGAAACTTTAGTATAGTAATCTTCATGTAATATATATATATATATATATATATAAAATGTCACTTGGCTTTCATTCCCCTAAATTGTCTTTTCTGTTCAAGACAACTGTTCATGGATGCATTGCATAGTAAAAGCTTCTACAGATTGTAACAATTCATAATAATGAATTGTGATTGAATCTCATCAGATACACAGGTTTTCCCCAGCTGGTTCCATTTAGAGGGGAAATATTGATGACAGTCTTGGATTGAGCCAGGAGTCTCTTGATTTATGATATTCAACTAATAAAGCTATTATTTTAATTGCCAGTGAATGTCTAGACTTCTATATCAAGCAAAAAGAGAAAACAAAACAAGTATTTAAATGTTGTCTGACATTCTTTGCAGAAAGGTTGAGAGAAAAAGAAGGGAAAAAATGAAGATAGAGAAGGAGAGAGAGAAGAGAAAAAAGAAGAAAAAGAAGAAAAAAAAAAAAAAAAAGAAAGAGAAAAGAAAAAAAAAAAAAGAAAAGAGAAGAAGAAAAAAGAAAAAAGAAAAAAAAAAAAAAAAAAAAAAAAAGAAAAGAAAAAAAGAAAAAAGAAAAAAAAAAAAGAAAAAAAGAGAAAAAAGAAAAAAAAGAAAAAAGAGAAAAAAGAAAAGAAAAAAGAAAAAAAGAGAAAAAGAGAAAAAAGAAAAAAGAGAAAAAAGAAGAATAAAAAAGAGAAAAAAGAAGAATAAAAAAGAGAAAAAAGAAGAATAAAAAAGAGAAAAAAGAAGAATAAAAAAAGAGAAAAAAGAAGAATAAAAAAAGAGAAAAAAGAAGAATAAAAAAGAGAAGGAGAAAGTTCAAATTGTACAACATGAAATCAATATACAGGAATGAAATCATGACCAACTGAAAGAAGCAAAAAACAAATGAGCAACTCATAACACTCACCATGTCTAGAGTGACATTTGTCAGTTGTTTCTGAAATTGTTCTGCTTTTTCATATGATATTGAAGGTAGTACTGGAATAGTCATCATAGGGGTCTTCATGTTGCCCAGGGAGGTCATGAGGATTTCACGTAAACGGGGAATACCCAAAGTCACGTTCATTTCTCCATAACCAGCAAAATGGAAAGTGTTCAAGGTCATCTGTGTTGAAGGTTCCCCAATGGACTGAATTGAAATAAATATTCAAACATTGAACAATTTAAACTGGAAATTAGTAGAGCTTGTATATATGTGGGGGTGGGGGACTACAGAGGAAGCATGGATAGAGTAATGGACATCGGTGTGGAAACTGAATTAAGTGTGCTGAATTCAATTCCCTGATTGATTCTGTTTTGTTAACTTTGTGCTAATGATCTTAGAAAAGGCCTGAACCCATCTTCCTCTAGCTATAGGTTAAATAGCAAAACAAACTAGGCACTATGCAACCAGTCTAGGAGAATGCAAACTCTGAATTCAAAACCAACAATCCTTAGGGGCTATGGGACACACGAGCATATGATTGGCAATACAATAGTAGGCATCCATTTATCTCACAAAATAAAGGTATCACTCTGCATGGTCAAAATCCAGTCATTTTGTAGCGAGACTTAAGTGACCTCTCCAGAGCACAAGCCAGGGCAATGGTATGGCATATGGAGGCCGTGTGCTGCTCAGATTACATACCTCCTCCCAGCAGGTCATACCAAAATAATAGAGGGCATTACATTTGGGGACTACTTGGCTACAGGAGTTGCCAAAAATTTGTAAATGTTGATGGCCAACTGCCTTCAGTGTGCAACTCAGAGTTTTCTGTCTGGAATTACTTCTATAGCCTTTTATGTGTTTGGGTATGACCACAAAGAAGCAGCAGTGGTTTAAATATCAGAATTTTCCTTCTCCTTGATGGATTGCCTTCCTGGGTTTTTGAGCTCCATCTACCAAAAGCAGATAGTTATTAGTGGAAAAAGGACTGATTTATTATTTAAGTATACACATAAATACGCACATATTTCTTTCATTTTTTTTTTTATCTGATGAAGACTAGAAAGGCCAAAACACATAATCAAATCTAGTTTCAATGAAACAATTTCTCTGTGTGTGTGTAAGTTTTCTTAGCAGTGAGTTTACCACAACCTCACTCCTTAGCTTTAGATATTTTCTGCACTAATAAACAAAGTATTTCTCAGATAAAAAATAAAATAATTGAAAATCAAATCTGAAAATTGGTTTTCAATTCAAATCTCTTTAAGCAAAATACATTGCACATTGGAAAGAAACAGAATGTTAGGGTTCAAAACCGAATGCAAGCATTCCACACAAAATAAACCCATTAGAATTATCATTTTTTTCTCTTTGTGTTCAAACTGCTGTGTGATAGGTTTTCTGAAAATTTTACATAACCACGATATATGCATTATGATAGGTAGTAGTCTTTTCCATTCTGAATTTTCATTCCATCATTGGTTGAGTTTTCTACCTTGACAGCCATAAAAAGATAAATGCTAATTCAAGCTGAAATGATGTTTTTAGCTTTACCTGTGATGAGAGGACACCTACAGACTCGCCTGGCTGTACAAGAGACTGAAGAAACTTGCAACTGATCAAATCAGTAAATTGGTCGGCTGTTATCTTTTCATTCTTTGACCTGTGTTTCTGATTCAACTGAAATAGAAAAAACAAAATGAGAAAAAAATGTGTTTTCTACACCACACAAAAACTCTCAAGTCTGGCACAGGAGGGGATTTGGAGCAAGCAATGGGAAGAGGTTGAAACAAAGAAGGAGAAGAGGTTAAAAAATTCATTAAAAATTTATTTACTTGTATTATTTACATTATATGGACTGTTATCCTCATCTTCATTGCCATATTAGTAATGTTTTGGTTGTTGTACAATCTGGCCTTCTTCAGGTTATTGGAATTTTGAAACAAATTCTTTATTTCGTCCACTGGGGTAGATTGTTCTAGTTCCACATACCATGCCTCTTCTGGATGTCTCAGTTATTTCCCTTTAACTCAACTCTTCAAGTCTTGGTTCATCACAGCTTTGGTCTGGTAATGAACTCACAACTCTTTGGGTCTAGTCTATGTATCTCCAAACAATCTAAATAACAGTCCGAATAATGTAAATAATACAAGTAATCATAATACCGCATCTCAGAGACAGAAACAAAAAAAAAATAGAGAAAGGTGGTTGGAATAAACAGACAGGTTGGGGGATAGTGGAAAGTAAAATATACAGGGAATGTCTGGAATAACAATAGGTACATTATTTACATTATTTGGACTATTGTCCTCATCTTTGTCGCCATATTTATTACGTTTTGGCCGTTGTATGCTCTGGCCCTTCTTCAGGTGGTTGGAATGTTGAACTTAACCCTTTATTTCGCTCACTGGAGTAGACTGTTCTAGTTCCACATGTCATGTTTCATGGATGCCAGTTATCAGTTATCTCCTGTTAATTTCCCTCTGAAAGTTCTCCACTGTCTTAACTGGGTATTGAACTCACACTCTTTGGGTCCTGTCACTGGATCTAACCAACCCCTTTATCCACTGTGCCATGTGTCCTTAAAGGATTAACAGGAGATAACTGATAACATACATCCATTAAACATGGCACGTGGAACTAGAACAGTCTACTCCAGTGAGCGAAAAAGGGTTAAGTTTGACATTCCAACCACCTGAAGAAGCCCAGAGTGTACAATGGCTGAAATGTTGTAATAAATATGACGACAAAAATGAAGACAATAGTCTGAATAATGTACATAATACCTCATCTCAGAAATATAGACAGATACTAACAATGAGTAGTTCAGAAAAAAAATAAAATAAAAATCACCAACCTGTGATTCCAGATTAACTGAATAATTTTTCATTGTTTTATAAAGATGTTCAGAAACAGCATACTTGTCTTGATAAGGGAACATTTTTGATAGAACTGGATCTGGAAAATGTTTAATTTTTTTCCTGTACCTGTAACAGACAGAAGATAATTATAGACAGGCCAAAACAAGTCACTTTTTCCTTTTTATATATATTTGTGTATTTGGGCAGCAATCCACAATATATTGCAATTAAGCTTTTTAATCAATTTTTCATACATACAAGTGTTTTCTTTACTGTACATACAGTGTGTAAAAATTGTCCAAATGTTCTACTTATCCCATTCCTCAATCCGAGCCTCTATTCATTACCCACCAGGCCTTCATATAACCCACTACTTTCGGATATTCTCTAAGCCATTATCAGTGATATTTTCTTTGTTGTTTTTTTTAACTGAATAAATATATATATATATATATATATATATATATATATATATATATAAATAAAATAAACAAAAGGTAGAAAGTAAAACTATTCTTTTGCGGCCTAGCAGAGGAATATATACTTGCAGCATGGCCCGTCGTTGCCCGTGCTCGATTCAAAAAACGTACGACTCATACAGCAATCACTATCACTTAAAATATTTTTGCCCTTCCTTGCCTTTAGAGTGCCCTTTGCCATGCTGATGTTGCTACATGCCTTACTTCTTGCCTATCTCACACTGTGAATTTTTTCTAAGCTCTATACTAAACATTAAATCCGTTACAAAAAAAGAACTAAACAAAATGAACACAAAACGATCAACTTTAAAAAAGGACTCATAACTGGAAAAACCGAATGAAAAAAGAATGTTAACAACAAATACTTTTTCACACCCAACCCAGTTCTGCGGAATCAGAATCAACGTTGAGTTTAAGCAAGCAAATGAGTAAGGTGCTATGCAGATTTAAATTTTTCCCACTCGTGATGAATGCAGCTACCGATTTTTTTTTTTTCATGCTAGCATGCTAGTTAACATTCATCTCAGTCAGCTGTTGGCTCACGTTGGCTAATAGAATCTTTCTGCCTATTCGTGGCAGCCAGCTATAGGCTCTCACTCTGGCCAGTACAAAATGGCTGCAAACTACATGAAAACTGCTGTAGAAGCATGAAAAAAATCGATTATTTCCACTATCGATGGGAGTTGGGAAATGCAAAGTCAGTCTTGGCCTTCCAGCTAACTTGGAGCATGTGCATGTAAATTTTGGTGCAAGTCCATCAAAAATTGCGGCCGTGCATTCGTTACACACACACACACACACACATCCTGCCTTTTATAGATAGAAATATATTTGCCCACAATACTATATTGTGCTGCTTCCGCCTGTGGTAAATTGTGAACTCAGATTTTTTTTTCTTTACAGAATTTCAGTTACAACTCAATAACTGACTCTGGATGCTGAGGGATGGTTTTTTGTTTTTCGTTTTTTTGTTTTAGTTACCATCTCCAGCTCAATTGCCAACCAAGCCCAAATCTGTCACTTAGTTGAGAACTGGTGACTATGCAACAGCACAAGACAGTTTCATCAACCCAATTTCACCCACAAGGCTAGAGTCAACTCATGGCATGGTTGTCAGGCACGCCCTGTGTTGCACACTTGGACCACCTCTCTAGGCCGATTTCATCAATCTCTTGAACTAAGTGTCCAGGGTGTGAGTGAAAACCCAGACCTCAAAGCCGGAATACTAACCACTCAACCATGCACATATATTCACTTGCCACAGTTTTCTATCATATATTGCCAATGATTCATCAATAAACAAGACAATTCAACTTCATTGCTATGCTGGTAGTTTTTAATTGATTGTTTTTTACATTTTATCAACCCTTTCTGAGTTATTTAATCCTTTACTATTCAACCCACCTATTGGCTTTCAATGTTTAAACTGCCATAATATATGATGACATCATTGCCAATAATGCAAGAAGTCATGCAAATGTGAGACTTTGAACACAAGCGGTGAGATTTTGTGAGCCAATATTTATGGAAGAGTTTTGAGTATTTAAAGGATTAAAGCTAGAAAATATTTTCAGATTATAGGAAGTTTTGCTGTGATAAGGATTTATTGATACAAGCCTTGCTAATTAACCCATATTGAGGAAGGAAAAGAAGTGGATTCATACCTTTCCCAAGGATATTTGTATGTAAGTGAGTATGACAAGTGGAATTGGAACTTGGTTCTCTGATTAACAGCAACAATGGTGGAGTAATGGATTGTTATGATGTTGATTTGGGGTTAGTAGAGACAAACGCCAAATAACACATAACAATAAAAAGGGTTTTAATAGGTTGGTAAAAAGGTATAGAAATCGCCTGAGTAGTCAATAACTAGCTCAGCTAAGAACTTCTCTGTCTATCTGTCTTCCTCATGTCAACTGACATGTCACTATTTAAAGTCTTTGTTCACAGACAAGTTCATCTTCAAGAGGGGTGGTAGGTTTCCGACACAACATGGATATTAGCTTGGATTGAGGAATTGGAGAGCAGAGTTTGAATCCTAGTTGAATCCATTACATTCATTTATGTGCTAATACTCTTGGTAAAGGTATGAATCCTCTGCTTCTAACCCCCCCCCCAAGCTATGGGTAAATAGCAGGACAGACCAGGTTCTATAGACTTGGATGGCAACTGCTCCACTGCAGAAAGAAACGGCAACCTACTGTGGGAAAAGAATATGCCTTGTCTGTTATGTATCAAAAGATACATGATTGCCTAAGCGTGTATCATGCATGGCATATAACTGATTGACTGAAGTTGCAATCAAATCTTACAGAATCTGGTATTCCCAAGTGGTCACCCATCTAAGTTGCTTAACTTCAGTCATCGTATGACAACTGGTGTTTAGAAATCTTTAATCAAACAATTTCTAAATGATATTCTCTTTATTTCAACAAAGACATTCATGGAAGTAAGTCAGTAAATGATCTCCATTTCTTTTTATTTATACTTTTAAAGCAATTTTAAATATTTGAATTATATTTTTAGTTACTGTTGATATTCATTTTTCTAAAAACTCATTTTGCCCCAAGCAAGCCAATAAAACCAAGAATACAAGGAGTTACAGAATCTGAAAGAATATGACAAAAAAGAAAAAAAAAACATTGAGAAAGGACAATAAAAGAACATAACTGACATAGCATTTAAATTTTTAAAGAACAAAATTGTCTGAAAAGCAAGAAGCTAGATGTTAGTTTCACAAGAGAGAAGTGCAAGAGAAGACACGTTTAGCATAGAACTTATAATTAAATCTAATCATTTTAACTGTAAAATGATGAGACTTAGCTATCAATCTAGTAGTGAGCTTAAATTTATCGTCAAGGTATTTAAGGAGAGCTCATCAAAACAATTACCATGAAAATATTTATACAAAGGCACAGGGAAGTGACCTTACAGTGGTAGGAAAGTAACTAAAGCCAAGCTGTTCGGTCAAGACTGATAACAATGCAGATTATTCTTTGGATCTTATCAAGAATCTCAAGATACATAGAAAAAAAGCACTATAAAAAGATGTGGCAGCAAAATTAAATGCAAATCAACTTGGACTCATTCTCTTAATGAAAATATTAATTAAAAAGCTCATGTAGGGTACAAGTTAGATTTCATCAATTCACAGTCAAAATGGTGAGATGTAACCGTAAGTTCTATGCTGAAAGTTTCTTCTCCCACACTTCTTGTTTATGTTACTCTCTTCTGGTTTCTTGCTTCCCAGTTAACTTTGATCTTCAAAACTTTAAATGCAATGTCAATCTTTATCTTCTGTCTCCTTGAATCCTGTTCTTTTATTGTCCTCTCTTTAATAATATTTTTTTCTTTGCATATTCATTCCCAGTTAACAAGTTGCTTGGGATGAAATGATAAAAAAAAATGTTATAACATGCTGAACCTTGTACTATATTTTGACAGGAATAGGTGCTTTGTTTTTATTCATTAGTTAAAAAATAAAGAAAAAAAAGTACTACACTTAAATTCATAAAGTCTAGGTTCTAAAGAGGAAAGCCCATCAGAACAATTACTATGAAAATATTTATAGAAAAGGCACAGAGAAGATGCATCATGGTGGCAGGAAAGTGATTGAAGCTGAGATGCCAGGTCAAGACCAATAATATTGCAAATTCTTCTTTGAATTTTGCCAAGAATTTCTGGACACATTGCAGAAGCACCAAACCAGATGTGGTAACAATATTTAATGCACTGGTTAATGCTAGACGTATGATGGTTCAAGACAGATTTTGGCAAGAAAAATTGTCTAGTACAAAATGGTGAATCAACTTTCCTAGCAGCAGGTCTAGCAACTGATTCAATATAATCATTCCACTTCATGTCGATGTGAGACAGAGAAGGTGCAAGGAATTATTTGCCTGTAGGTTAGCATCAGCCATGTCAATGGAAGGCAGAAAAGATGACTAAAGGAAAGAGATATTAATTACTTTATATTTAATTTCTCAACTGCAAAGATACACTATGTGATTGTAGAAACTCTACTTATAAGGTAATACTGAAAAGTTATTGGCCCAACCAAGTCATCCTAACAAATAAAATGTTTGGTCACATTTTGAGACATGGGCCAATCACCTATTTTATTCATCCCTATATAATAACGGATCATAAACAAAGTAATGCAAACATTCCATCATCACCAATTTGACCCTGAACTACTGCCAGTATCAATAAATAGATATCCCTTCAAGGAAGCTCCATGCCTTGAGAGACTACTTGGCCTTAAACTCACACCTGACCTCAAGTGGAACTTGTACATATAATCCATCACAAAAGATACAGCGAAAATGGTTGGGTCCTCGTGGTACTTCAGTAAATACCTGACTTTGCATGCTATCCTCCAACTTTACAAGATCAGGCCTAAAATGAAGTATCATTGTCATATTTGGGTGGGAGCTGCCCATCCTCACTCTCCAGTCTCAAAAGAATCCAAAAATGACTCAGTCCATGTAGGTGATAAATTATATTCCACCTGCCAACCTCTCTCCCACAGGTAGGTTGTGCCGAGTCTCACTGTTCTCTTGCTACTTCCATGGAAAGTGCTCAGATGAACTGCATTCCTTGGTTCCACCAGACCTAACCTTCATGGCAAAACTCGCCATGCCATTTACATTGTAGCAAACCACCCTCATTCCATCACTGTTCCGTCGGTGAGAAGTAAGTTCCACTTGAACAGCTTCTTCCCACAACCACTGCTCTGTGCAACAGACTCCCAAGAGAAGGTTTCACTACAATCTTAACCTGTTCAAATCTAGGGTTAATCCTTATCTTCCTCTCCTATCTCCATAAGCTGTCTCTTACGGTAACCCTCTACCTTGAGTGATCCCTAGGCCTTGTACAGACTGAACCTTATCGAAAAAAAAAAAAAAAAAGTTGTAGTAAACAAACAATAAATTTAATACTGACTTTTCTTTCTTACGAGAGCTGAGATTATACCACATCTGACATAACTGCGCAGCTTTTGAGGTTCGGCCAGGAATTAATTTTGTCTTCGCCTCCAGGTCCAAAGAGTCTTCTTTCTTCTTGCAGAATTTTAAAAAAGGAGTTGCATGGAGGTTGTATTTAAGTGATTCCTTTGACAAACATCGACTGTTCAAGTCAAAGATCTGTAAAATCAAGTCATTGAGAAGTGGAGGTAAAAATTTACAGATTCATTAATTTTGAGTATTTACAATATACACAACTAAAGCAATTTCCCCAAAAGATATTTTCTGAATACTTTTTTTTTCTTAAATACAACTAAAAGTTATTAATTCTAAAAGTTGATTGTTACATTCCCATGAGAAAAACAAACTGGATACTGGGAGATTAAATTAGAGAATAAAGACAGAATAGACAAATTTTATATATATATATATATATATATATATATATATATATATATATACACACACACACACACACACACACAGGTGGCATCCTACCTATTCACAATAAATGATTCTTAAGATTATTGACCCATAAGGAGTTGATATGCTGTTAATCAAATCTTAAAATTATAAAAGCTTAGCAAAGCAGATGTTGGATTATCAAAAAATAATCTTTTATGTTAATAGCTAAAAATATAATTAATAACATTTCTGTAAGTTCTGCAGTGGCCAAAAGAGGGTTTTCTGTGATGAACATGATTTCTTTCATCAGAATAAACTATCTTGAAATGAAAAATATAGCAAATCTTTTTGTTATAAATTTGATGGGTTTCCCATTGAATCTTTGGGGCTGCAGCGATTTCTAAACTAAATATTACTAGCCTTTGTAGAACCAGTTCCTGGAAATTTTGGATGGCATTATTGTGTGTAATATATATGTGTGTGTGTGTGTGTGTGTGTGTGTGTGTGTGTAATATTAAAGTAAAATCCAGGTAGTCAGTGACTGACCACTACTCCTAGTTTCATGGTGCCCAGTCACTGCCTATTTGTATTTTGCTCTAATATTGAAGATCTGCTATATCTTATGCTATTCATCACTTTTCTTTGCCATACCAGCAAAACATTTTTTTTTAAAGTTTTCAGCTATTTTTGATCTTGGCCAGATATCTGCAATCACATCCCCACTTACATCTCAACACCTAACTCCCCAGACTGCAACCCCTTTGGTTAGTATGCGTGGGGTGCAGTTGAGCAAGAGACCAACAAAACTCCTTGTAATACCAAAGATGAACTGAAGGCAAGGTTTATGGTGGCATTCAACAACTTAAACAAGGACACCACCAAGAAGAGTTGCAAGAGATTCCAAAGTTGTTTGAAGGTCATAGCTGAAGCCAATGGCGCTTTTATTGAATAAATTTACACTTTAGCATGTCAAGATATTTTTGTGCCATTTTGGTAAATATATCTGTTAAAATGAGATTTCAGTGTTATTTTCATTTTTTCATAATTTAGACGACAATTTATCCGTGTGTGTGTGTGTGTGTGTGTGTGTGTGCATATATATAAGGTGAGGATGGGGTCTGAAGCCTTGAATGAACCTTCCTAGTGAGTGCCATGATAAAAATACTTGGTGTACTTAGACTACTATGGTACTATGAGTGTCCAAGTTGGACATCAGGAAGAGCAACCTTGCCTCAAATTATTATGACAAATCCTCTATTTGGCAGGATCCATCTTTTTAAGTGTGAGATTAATCCTGGCCCTGTCTTAAAAAAAACAAAAAAAACAACCACCACCATAGCTATGTAAGTATGTAGTAATGGTCAAGAAGAGATGCTTCACTATTACCCAATACTAAAGCACCTTGGTAAGCTTAGCTTTACTTAAAAATTGGTCAGTGACATGGACAAAAATGAGTGAAGCAACACGTGTATATAAATGGGGATAGAAACCAAGCATAGTGCAGCACACAAAAGAAATATGATCAGGACTACAAGAATGGACAGGTAGTTTCATATAAAAAAAAAAAACGAGGTGAAGGGAATGTAATATTATATATGGTTCAATGTGTGCATACAGGCAAGCACTTTGTAATAAGGAATTTGGAAGTCAAAAGTAAGTAACTTGCCTGATCCTGTGTTTCTTTTGCGTCTTCATTCATTTTTGGCAATGAGGTTTCAGAATTCACCACTGCAGCACGATTCTGGATCAAAACTGGAAATCTTTCTGGTTCCAGCAATTTGGTCTTCATCACATCCAAACCATCTTCACCATAATAAAACTTAAAAGAAAAGAAAAATTAGTAATTAACACCACCTGACTTAACTATGTAATATCGGCCCTCCTATATGGCAGTAAATGCTAGACAATCTCCTCACAGATGAAGAGACTTGAAGCAACAAAAATGTGGTTATATAAAAGGATACTGAAACTAAAATGGACTGAACATGAGGAAGTTTTAGAGAAAATGAAAACAAAAAGGGCACTTATAATTTTGTTTCTTTCTTGTATCAATTTTTGATTGTTGACCCATGGGTGTATCCTTTTCTTTCTATGTAATCTTGGAATGGTCTCACATGCTTCAGCTAAGTATTTAACATTATTTAATTCCTCTATGTTTTGATCAAGATTTACCAACATCAATTCGAACCAATTTATTGCTGAAGTGTAAATGTACCCTTTCATTTTTAAGGGCTTGGCTGTTGTACTTCAGTGTTTTCCTTGGTTTTTGTGGGTGGAAGCAAGCTATTTTGTTGGCTGGTGTTTTCAGTTTAGTTACAAGTAGTTTGTGATCAGATTCAAAGTATGTGACAAACTGCCTAATCCAAGAGTCTGGGATGCTTAAATCAATAATCATTACAGACATGAACAACAATGCCAGCAGCCACCAGTCTTATTGACTGGTGATTTGTGTATTTCAGTTACAACTCCATGTTGGCTTTTCTCCTTGTGGCCAGACTAAAATAAATTGTATTTCAAATGTGCAACGGAGTCGCAACCAAGTGGACATACCTCTTGCATACAGACATCAAAATTTGCCTTTTTTCATTCTTCTAAAAGCAAGTGCACTCTCAAATTATCTAATCCTAACTGAATTGTTCTATTTCCCATTTGAAGAATGTTTTTTAAAATCTGGAGGATGTTATGTGATACAATTTAATGCCTAATAAATGAAAGTGAGTAAATGTTGCTATTGAATTTTTATTTTCTCATTACATATACATACATACATACATACTCACTAGCAAGAGATAGATAGATATGCATATGTGTTATAAATTTGGGTATATAATCCCAACAGATTTATAAAGTATTGACATTTGTAAAAATGTTAATGAAAGTATGTTTCAAAAAAAAAAAAATCCGACAATGAATTTTGCCTGTTTGTCTTCATTAGATCGAAGATAAAAAAAAAAAAAGTGTTGTGTGTGTTTGCATTTGCATATTTTAAATTATTTTAAACACACACAAATACAAAACACAATTTTTCATCTTTGATCTGATCAAGCCAAACAGACGAAATGCATTGTCAGATGTTTTTTTTGTTTTTTTAAACCCTTTCATGAACATCTTTCAAAATGCCAGTAATTCATAAATATATATTTTAATAAAATATTACAATAATCATAACAATCATAAGTATGAACTGGTCATTATTTTAAGAAGTGGATAGAAGCAAGTAGAGTCTTTTCCCCTTTTCCATGTGATCAAAATGGAATAGTCCATTATTTAGGAGTTATTGACACAGCATAATGGTCCTGAGAACCAACGAAAGGAGGGACAAGCAAAATTGTAATAGGGTTTTTTTGTTTTTTTTATATTAAAAATATTTTTTTAAATATAAAAAAATAACTAACATACTAAAGATTCCATAATCAATTTTCAGAAAAGTAAGTATTAATGGTAAAAACAATATACCTGAATGACTGTATTGTCACTGTCTCTAACAGTTAAATCATAACCAACCATCACTCCTTCCAAATGTTTAATAAGGCACCGTTGTAAGTAACCAGAACGACTGGTCTTTACGGCTGTATCAATCAGACCCTGAAAGAAAAGAAAATTATAATAGCCTTTAGTGTGTGAATGTTACTCAAAAACAAAATGACATCAAAAGTATCATATAAAAACAAAGGAGTGTATATATATATATATATATATATATATATATATATATATATATATATATATATATGTGTGTGTGTGTGTGTGTGTGTGTGAGCATTGAAGTCAAAACAGGCTGTTTCATGCTGGACTCAATCGTCAGGCCATGAATGCTGGATTTTTCCTCAGCTATTTATATATATGGGTCAGTGGTGCATTGTGGGTAATCTATTCTGGTGGTTATTATTGCAGAAGTGGCTTGTTTGTTTATTTATTTGTTTGTGTTAATTTATTTTACTTGTTTTTCATTTTCATTTTGTATTATTTATTCTTTTCATTTTTTGATGTTTTATTGAAGGAAATATCCAGCATTTGTAGCTGAATGATTGCATATAGCATGAAACAGCCTGTTGTCTCTGAGTGCTGACGTCAATGTTCACTTTTATCTTTACATATGCTCTATTTCTGATATTCAGCACTTTATCCCATAAATATAGCACACCTTAAAACTATACTTCTTCATTCATATATTTTGTAGGTGCAGTACTTAGTGGAAAGTGCTCAATATCAGTGACAGAGCTAACATATTCAGTTGTATGGATAGGAGTTTGTGATCCTGGGTTTCACGCTTTTGCAATCATCAAACATCAGTTTGTCTGATGATCACAAACTTGTATCCAAACAACTGAATATTATATATAAGGAGAATCAGAAAGCAGAGTTCAGGTTCCAACCTTGTCTACTGCATTCACTTTTAAATTAAGATTCATGCCTTTCCAAAGAGAATGTCTGTTTTTCTCTTTCCAGCTGTGGTTAAATAACAAAGTAGACTGGGATCTGTCTAGTTTGTTTTTTTGGGGGGGCAGGTTGGGGCTGGGAAGAGATGAGCAGCCAATTTATGAGGAGGAAAACTAAATTCAAAACTGTGGAAAAGAAAGCAGTACACTTTCCATCTCAAGAAGTCATGGCAATCCACAGATAATAAAGAAACAGAATCTGTAAAGAGCCACAATCAGCGATGTCTTGAATGAAAATGGAATTAAAAAAAAAAAACATGAATCTAAATTCAATTGTTCAGTATTTCTAACTTGTGACCCTATGAAAAAAAAAAAAAAAGTTTATGTATTAAGAATGGCGTGATTTGAAAAAGTTTGGGAGCAGGCCAGTTGGGAAAAGATTAAAAAAAAAAAAAAAAAAAAAAAAAAAAATGAAAAAAAAAATGTTTTGTCTATCTAAATGCAACACTGCTGAGGATCTTTAGATTTAAAAAAAAAAAAAAATCCTAATATCCAAACTTCTCAGTGTTACCAATTTAAATGCTGTCAGAATATGCTACATTCTAATTTTTTTTTCTTTACAGATAATTGTTAGTAACTTGAAATTTCTCAACCTATAATGTCTCACACAGAAGATACTTCAACGGGAAGAAAAAGGAAAAGAAATTCTTTCATGTTATGTCACAAATTAGAGATTATTGAAAAACTGGATGAAGCTCCGAATTTGTTGAATTTGCAAATTAACAAACAAGGATTACAGAATCTGAATGAAACACTAAAACTTCTGCTTGAAGATGATCCACTAAATACTCTCACTTTGAATGACTTAAAAGAATGGATAAATGAAGACGCTAATGAATTACAAAATAAATCCAATGGTAGAATTGCTCCAAAATGATTTTGGATTGCTAAGAAATAGAGGAAGAATCAAATTCTTCCGATAATGGTGAAAATATGAAAGATGATGAAGACTGGGACTCAGTAGAGAAAGCTATGAGTTCATCAAATTTATGGAGGAAAAATTTTTGTTCAGTAGTACAGAATGTATAAATGTATGTAATTTGCAGAAATACCTGACCATGAAAAAACAAGAACAGCGAAAAGTAAGCAAAATGAGAAAAGAAATAAGAAAGACAATTGAAAAAAAATTTATTGAGCATTAAACATTGCAAATTAATATTTACTTTCATGAAACATTTAATTCTTGTGTTTTGTTAAATTATATTAAAAATTATATCCGAGCCCATCCTCATATCCAAACTACTCTGAAGATCGGATATGAGGACATCTACTGCATTTATAAACATAAAAAAAAGAAGAGAGAGAGAGAGAAATAGACAACATAATATGGAAAGCTTCCTGCCCCTTCACTGCATTAAGTTCAGACCTTTAGTACAACTTTCCATGCAACATCCACAGAGTTGAATCACCCACATTTTGTCCATATTCCATTTATAAGGAAGAAGTTTCACTTTCAGACTGCTTTTTTTTTTTTCAAGAATTGCAACTTTGTGGAAAAGGCTCCCACGTGGATGCTTCCTTGAAAACTACAATCTTAATCTTTTCAAAAAAGGTCAATTGTTATCCTCATAACCATCATTTGCTTCTACCTCCTCTTACATTCATATCACACACCACATTCATTGACCCTCAATTTATTTTATAATAACAAAAGGACTTAAATAATCAGAAAGAGGACTCTTCAGCTGTGGATAACTCTAGGCACCTCCAAAGAAATTCAAAACCTAAGGTTTAAAAATGAAAAATCTTTCTTGAAACTTTTATTTTAGTTTTAATTTCAAACTAATAGATTTAATAATAAATTTAATATTTCCAATAAGCAAAATACTTTGCTGTATTCCAAAATCAATTTAAATTAACTGATAAAACCTATCTATATTTCTGAGATGAGGTATTATGTACACTATTTACATTATTTGGATTATTGTACTCATCTTTGTCGCCATATTTATTACATTTCGGCTGTTGTACGTTCTGGCTTTCTTCAGTGAGCGAAATAAAAGGTTCAGTTCAACATTCCAACCACCTGAAGAAGGCTGGAATGTACAACAGCTGAAACATTGTAATAAATATGGCGACAAAAATGAGGACAATAGTCCAAATAATGTAAATAGTGTGACTGGAAAGAGTTAAAAAAAAAAAATTTTATTCTGAAACTTTATTTCAGGGATATTAACTGATTTAAAGTACAATTAATTTGATTTGAAACAAATATTACTTTTAGTTTAAAATACTGCAGAAATGTGTTTAACAGAGAGGTAGGTGTTATATATATATAAATAAAATGAATAAAGACAATTTACCCATCACACTTTATATCCAAATGGCACAGCCACTCAGATCCAACGATGCCAGTCTACTAGGGCGACTAGCTAATCCCCATTGCAGATGCCTGCTCAGGCACATTTTGTGTTTGTTCAACATCCACAGAGCCCACCTGTGATTTATACTGCAACTATGCTGAGCAGACCGTAGTTACAGTTTCTGGGAGAGAGTGCATTATCTAGTGTGATCAAGTTTGAACAAGGCTAGCACACTTAAACCTTTGGTCACATTGACTTGTGACTTTGTGCTAGCACAACTATTGATGTCTCCCAAAAGGTTCCATCTACCCAATTTCACTCATAAGGGTTGGGTTGGGTCACCCCCCCCCGTAAGGTTTTCACTTTCCAAATATGCTGCACACTGAGATTGCCCCCTCGAGACCAATAACATCAAGAAGTCATCTTCCTGACAAAGCAACCATACATAGAAACATATTTTTTATTATTATCCTATTATAATTGTGCTTGTCCTTCATTTCACTAGTTCACATGACCATTACATCCTGCTAGTAGCTCATAATTTTTATTTTCCCCAAATACTTTCAATCTCATCTGAGACCATCTTCAGTGGCTGCACATCTATGGATGTGTTATGCGTTAACACTGTAAATTTAGAATATATTTTTTACCTTTATGTAAGTGTGGTTTATACTGCAACTATGCTGAGCAGACCTTAGTTACATTTTCTGGGAGAGAGCGCACTACTCACATGATCAACAGTCTGAAAAAGGCCGGCACTCTCAAACTCTCGGTCATGATGACTTGTGACTCCATGCTATCACAACTATTGATATCTCCCAAAGGGTTCCATCTACCCAATTTGACTCATAAGCCTTAGGGTCAAACACCCCACCCACTATAGTATGGTTTTCAGACATTTTCCAAATAGGCTGCACGCTGAGATCGCCTCCCCCAAACCAATAACATCAACAAGTCATCTTCCTGACAAATCAATGATGGTGAAATTCAAACCTGGGTTTCATAGTCTGAAAGTGAACATTCTAACTACTCAGCCACCCCTGTGTATGTGTGTACATATATATATATATATATATATATATATATATATATATATATATCATTTCATCCCAAAATGCAGACATGAAAACAAATTTTTACTAATTTACTTAAAAATCGAAAACGGAAAAAATAAAATAAAATAAATAAACAAAATGACAATAAAATAAGCAAAATAAATTAACCCAAACAAATTACCAAATCACACCTGTTAGAATAGACGAAATAGAATAAAAAATAAGCTATAACTGAATATAACAAGAAAAAAAAAAAAAAAATACGTTACTTAAAAATTGAAAATCGAAAAGAGAAAATATACAGTATAACAAATAAATAATAACAAGTAAAATAAATTGACCTAAATTCATCCAAATAAATAAATAAACAAACAAATCAATCCTGATAAACTAACCATTAGAAAAAACAAATAAAGATAATCAATCCAAAAATAAAAAAAATTAAAAACTGTTCCCACCAAAATAATAGTAAAAATAAACTACAGCAATCAACCCTAAAATTGAATAAATAGCTTTGTCTTCCCAAACCAAAACAAAACTATTAAATAAGCAATATAAACAAATTTTTACTACGTTAATAAAACACTGATTAAAATAAAATGAAAAAAAAAGAAAAAAATATATATAAGAAATAAAAATAAAAAATGAAAATAAATAAAAACAAGCAAAATAATTTAACCCAAATAAAAGACTTCCAGTAAAATGACTGCCAAAATAGACTACCCAAAATACACCACTGACCTGTATATATAAATAGCCAAGAAAAATAACAGCACTCGCAGCCTGACGATTGCATCTAGCATGAAACAGACTGTCACCTCTAAGTGTTGACTTCTATGTTCACTATGTTTATATATATATATATATATATATATATATAAGGTGTAACACCAAAATTGTCTAAGTCATGTTACAGCATAATTATCCATCCCACAAAATGTTTAATATCTAAAAAAACACAAAACTAATTGGTGTTTCTTTTTTCCAGGTTTTCAGATAAGATGTTTAGCCATCTTGATACCATTTGTTGTAAGAATAATTGAAAAACCCTTTGAGTTATTCAGCTAGAAAGGGAGCAGGTTAAAATTGTTTTGTGTCAGCTTCACTGTTTTCTCAACTGAGCAATGGTGAGATGAAGAAGATCAGTCAGGCCTTCAGTAATGGTACCAACATTCATACTTTGGCTTCCACCTTCAAACTCCATTCAAGAACCATCAAGAGAACAGTGAATAAGTTTAAAAAGAGGGAACATTAGAGAGGGAAACTGGATCAGGAGATCACAACAGGAAGAGGAATCATCATTTTGACTTAGAGCTAAAAAGATCAATTAGAAAAGATCCAATGTTTGACACATGAGAGATGATTTTCAACTATGACAGTCCAACAAGCAGTGAAAAAAGACTTGAAAATGAAATCGTAAGTGAAACCTGTGAGGCACCTCAATACTCCAGGACAGAAAGTTAAAAGTTGGAAAATGATCCTGGAATAATATATATATATATATATATATATATTTTAACTTTATTTCAATCCTTCATGGACTTTTGATCCTTATCTATGATTAATTAATGATAAACATGTCATTTTCATATAGGATAGATTTCATCACTATTCTTCTGCTAAGCTTGGGGAGTAATTATACATTCTTATTGCTCAAAGTAGAGGCCAATAGTGTTATAAAAACCTTGGAGAATTCCAGTAAGATATCTTTAATCATTTCTAAGATACAATGGTTGAGAGTTTAATCTAACAATTGGACAATTTTGCTGTTACACATGGTGTATGTGTGTGTGTGTGTGTGTGTGTGTATATATATATATATATATATATATATGAATGTAAATTTTTCCATTTGCAAAGTAGAATATATCTCAAGGAGGATTTACAATTGAAATTTGACTCCGACCCATAAAAATATTTATGGTTCAGACTTATGTATATATCTTTTGTTGTCTTTTGAGGATTCCACTTGATTAAAAAAACAAACCAACCACATAAAAAACAAAACAAAAAAGCAATACACTTTAGGATTTGTGATTCTCATAGACTGGATCCTCAGTAATCCTATCACCTGAATGCTAAGGATTGAAATTTAACAAACCATTTCACCTACTTTGATTGGAAATTGACAATTCCTGGATAAAAAAAAAAAAATTAAAAAAAATAAAAACAACTTACTTCACGCCCTGCCATACAGTGAACAAAATATTCTTGAGGTGAGATTCCAGTAAGGAAACGCCCCATGACAAATCCTCCAGCTTGTGGGGAAATGTCAAAACGAGTAAAAGAAGGTAAGAAACGCCCACTGAACATCATAGGTGGCCGACGACCTTCCAATTCAATTTGCCCAAGAAGACATGACATCTGCATAGCATTCACCTGAAAGTAAAAGTGAAACTTACATGTACTCACATTTAAAAAAGAAATCTTTTGGACATAACTTCCTTTATATAGTTCTATTTATTTAGTCAGTTATATGAAAGTTTCTGTGCTCAATCAGAAGTTAAAACAATTATTGCACACTTTTATATAAAAATATTTTGGCAAAGTTGAACATTTTAATCAGTCAAAAACAATGTCAAAAGAATGCTTTTATTTTCTCTCAACAATTAATACACTATACCTCCCTCTGCAATTTTATCGTTTTAAAAAGCCATTTTTAGAATTTGAATAAAATCCAAACATATAAAACTGGATTTATTCATTCTCATTTATCTCAAGAATAGTATTAAACACTATTTTAGTAAATATTTGTGTATAAGCTGACTTCATGTATAGTGTGACCCTGGAAATTTTTGCATGAATTTTATTCCTACCAGGAAAAAATTTACCTGTGTATACTGCAACCAGCCACCGAAAAACAATTTTTAATTGCTGAACAAAGAATTAAATGTGCATAGCTCTACCCACATTTTTTTAACATAAAATCTGATCATAAAACCTTGAATTATTAAAAAAAAAGTTTAAATCCAGATGCTCTCAACTGATTTTAGTGAACTTATGTGGTAAGAGCAAATAAAAAGAATGCTCATTAAAAAAGTTACCCATTGTTATATACTTAAATTCTCTTGTTCAGGCAGTTTTATAAATTTATGGATAACAAAATTTGTTTTTCATAGTTATTTCTTTGTAATATAAAGTAAATCATAAATTGTCTGAATTTCTGGAATGAGGAGTCATCATCATTATTTCTTTGTTGTTGATATCTCAACATATCAGCCATTGTGCCCTCCGATCTTCATCAGGTAAATATCAATCTGGGTGACCTACAGGGAATACTGAACTGAACCCTTTATTTCTTTATTTAATCTAAGGGGGTACACTGTTCTCATTCCACTGCCCATGTCTAGGGATAACTCACCTAGTTTTTATTTGTAGTAATGCTCAGTTATTGCTTATTCATTTCTACTGAGTCCAAGTACACACTGCCCAGCCCAGGAATTGAACTCACAAACCATCATTTTAAGTCACTACAGGGGCAACAGCCTAGTGGATTGACACATTGATAAATAGTATTGTAAATAGTAAATAAAGTGCATAATGCTTTTGTTGTTTCATTGATTCGTCTTTTATGGCTTATCAACCCTTTGCAGGTTATTAAAATCAGAAAATATTTTTAGATTGCAACAATTAATTTTTGGAGATAGTGATACAAGTCTTACTAATTAACCCATAGCTAGGGGGAAAGCAGTGGATTCTTACGTTTACCAACAGTATTTATACTTACGTAATGTACCCAACAGAAATTGGAACTCAGCTTTCTGAGCCATTATTCATTCTACCAAACCCAAGCTTGGTATTCTCAAGCAGTTACTCATCTAGATATTGACTAGTCTTAACATTGCTTAACTTCAGCGATCACATGGGAATCTGGTGTTTCAGCATAACATGGCGGTAGGCTGAATTCTTTTGTTATCAATTCTTGACGACAAAAAGAATGTATAAATCTAGCTTCATATCTTTGGGGTTTGTTAAAATTCTAAAAATAGCTTTTTAAAACAATAAAAATTGCTGAGGGAGCTAATGGTAATAGTGGTGTCAAAGTGTGTGTGTGTGGGGGGGTCAATATGCAGACATCAGAATATTTTTTCAACACTGCTACGAATGACCTAAGCCATGATGTCAGATTCAGGCCAATATTCTTACAATTCTCATAATTAAATTTGATTATATCAAGTAATTCTATATGAGCACTACTAGTACCGTGTAACTTAGCCCAGTACTACCGGCTGCATGGTCGGGTCATGGGTGACCAGTTCCCACAAGTAGGCTTTTCTGACAATGAGAATAGTTAAACACCAAACAGTATATACACTATTTACATTATTCGAACTATTGTCCTCATCTTTGCCGCCATATTTATTACAACGTTTCAGCCATTGTACGCTCCGGTCTTCTTCAGGTGGTTGGAATGTCGAACTGTACCTTTTATTTCGCTCACTGGGGTACAATGTTCTGGTTCCACGTCAGTTATCAGTTATCTCCTGGTAATAACTGGTAACTGACATCCATTAAACATGTCATGTGGAACTCGAACAGTCTACCCCAGTGAGTGAAATAAAACGTTGTTCGACATTCCAACCACCTGAAGAAGGCCAGAGCACAATACCAAACATTGTGGCGACAAAGATGAGGACAATAGTCCAAACACGTAAATATATAATATCTCAGAAAATATAGACAGATATGTGTGTGTGTATATATATATATATATATATATATATATATATATATATAAAGACAATAGGAAAACTATTATTAGCCAACACGTTTCATTCAATGTGACATTTTCAAGGCAAAAACGAAAATGTCTATACTGGACGAAATGTGTCAGCTAATAATACAGTTTTCCTATTGTCTTTTACCTTTATACAGTGTCTTTTTCTACAGGTTAACTCAGAAATTTTATATATATATATATATATATATATATATATTATGAAATGGACAAAGTCTGACAATTATTTTTAAGTCATTTTTATGTTTGTACATTTTATTTATAGATACAAATATTTAAGTAAATGCTCTGTTCATAATAAACAGTATTAACAACATTTACCAGCCTGAATGTCAGAGAAATTGTCATAGAAAATATGCATCCTCCTATACGGAAATATCATATAGCCTGATGTGCTTTTACCGATTTCGCCAAAGAGGAGCGTTTCAGTTAGCAAGGTCAATTTTTTACTGTTTTTAAACTACAATTCTCCATGATTTTCTCATGTACATTCATATCTGCTCAATGTGTATCCAAATGTAAACAAATGGCGTCACACATTATGAAATGGACAAAATCTGACAATTATTTTTAAGACATTTTTATGTTTATACATTCTTTTTTTATAGATACAGGTTTGATTCCTGTTGGAGGATGCATATTTTCTATGACAATTTCTCGGACATTCAGGGCGGTACATGTCGTTAATACTGTTTATTATAAACAGAGCATTTATTTAAATATTTGTATCTATAAAAAAGAATGTATAAAGATAAAAAATAAAATACACACACAAACTATATATATATATATATATATATATATATATATATATATATATATATATATATAACCTGTCAAGGGGCATATGGACAGATTTTCAGGGTCAACAGCTATCTAGCACAGTGAGGTAGACTGGGATTCATAGCTATCTATGTAGTCAGCTATGTATGCATGCCTGGGCAGAGAACTTCATGGACTGAAGTCAACAGTCAGGGCAGAGGGTTCCCCCTGATGTAATCAACAACCATGTATGAGTGGTTTCAAGGGAAACACTGTCCTTTTTGACAACACCTTTTTTTTTTCTTTTTTGCAGGCCCATATGTTAAACTTTTCCAACATTTTTTTAAAGCTCAATATGCAGAACTCAGAATATTTATCCAACCCTACCCTGAGGAAGGCAATGTTTGAAGATGCTGTTTGAAAGAGGCACCTTTAAAGACCCTTGAAAGGAAAACCATTTTAATGAACACACGTTGGCATCAATTATCTCCCTTGAATCCTTATCCAATACTTACAGATGTTCCTTTGGCTCCTGCATTTACCATCAACTGTAGATTGTTGTCTGGGAACTTACACAGAAGTCCATTTGGCATTGTGGCTCTGAAAATAAAACGAAAGAATAATGACGATATCTTAATAGTAAGGCCAACCAGCATTATATTCAAATAGATTAACTTCTTCATCCTCAGCCAAGAAACTCTTATTTCTATATATGAAAAATCTATGAACAAGTTTGTTTTTTTTTTTTAATCATTTTACCTCAAGCAAGGTAATAAAGCCACTAAAATGCAAGCGGTTACTGAGTGTGAATGAGAAAAACAAAAACATTATTCCATGGACCATATGAGCTCCACTTGAGGTCTGAGGTGAGCTTAAGCCCCAAGAGGCATACAAGGTAAGGAGCATTCAAGGTAAGGGACCTCTTTGGGAGTTCACTTATTCGGTGCAATAGACTGAAATTCAAGGACTGCTTGATGATGATGGAATGTTACACATTCAGTTTTTGAAGTACTGAATGTAACCAGATCTGTATATGTAAGCTTTATATGTATACCAACAGACAAAACTGCTCTCCATTAATCATCCATGAGAGACCCCTCTCTGCCTTCCATCAGCATGTTGGACAAATCACTTGCCTGGAGGATAGCATCAGCCATGCTGATGGAAGGCAGAAAAGATTGTATTATAAAACTTCACAGCAAAAGCTCATCCGAATTTCTCCTTGGCACATTGACCACATAAATTTAAACATACTACTAGATAGGCAGCTAGGTCTCATTGTTTTACAGTTGAAATAGCAAAATATGTCACAATAAGTTCTATTCTAATAGAATCTTTTCTCAACCCTTTTCACCCCGTGAAACACTCTTAGGATTTCTTGCTTCCCTGCCACTTACCATTTTCAAAAACTTAAATGCAACATCAATCATCATCTTCTATCTTCCTGAATCCTGTTTTTTTTTTTTTTTTGCCCTTTCTCATCACTAGAATCTTTTTTTATTCTCTTTAATGCTAAGAAATTGCTTTGTTTATGCTAAGGTATGAAACGGAGGAGATATGTATATTTCAAGAGTCAGGGAAAGATTTGCATTTAAAAGGCACTATTCGGCTTTGGTGCACTTTATGACCAAAAGGTCTAAAGCATGTCAAATCTATAAATAAATAAATAGACTATAAAAATATCCTATTCAGTATATCAAATAGAAGTTGCCAAGAAGTCAGTTGAAACTCTGTATACGAAACAGAAATCACAATGAAAGATTTACACAGTGTTTTGATCTATTGACACAAGTTACTCACTTAAGAATATCGTTTTGAACATCATTTGTAATGTTTTTAATCTTGTGATTCAACTCTGACAGCGGGCGGTCATCTTTTGAAAATATCACATTCCTTATGGTTTTTTCAATTGATTCATCTTCCTTATTTGAATTCATTTTCAATACACTCCTTACATCTGCCTCTGAAAATTCTTTTATTTTCTTTATGTGTTTTTGACGTTTTTTATCAGCCTGAAGCAAAAAAATAAATAAATGATCAGTTGTTTGTCACAATCATTCATATTTAAACAAAAACAAACGAAGAGGCTATCCGCACCCCTCAACAAAATGATGAATAACTATTTTTGGCCCATTATACTATTTTGTTTGGAAACAGTTTCATTGATTAAACACGAATAATGTAAAGTTTAAAAGATTAATTACTAAGAGTTGCCATTATGAAAGAAACCTGGGCACTGTACAGCTAAATGTCACGAGTTTACCAATACACTTTTTTATAATTAAAAAAAAAAAAAAAAAAAAAGGTCAATCCACCCCAAAAAGGCAATGCTGTAACTAAGTTGTAAGGGGTTACTGAGAGTGAAAGAGAATTAGAAGACTTTAAAAGTAACCAAGAACCCAATCCTAAACAGGAAACAAGAGATAAATCTCTACTCGTCTATTAACCCCAAGCAAGGTAATAATGCCACTAAGATGCAAGGGACTACTGGGAGTGAAAGAGAATGAGAAGTCTTTTGAAGAAACTGGAAACCCAATCCTAAACAGGAAACGAGATAAACCTCTACTCTTGTTACAAGACTGGAGAGAGGTATGAACTAGATGATACGCAAACATATGTACTCCTAAATAAATAAAAAAATAAATAGTCAATTAAATTGCAGAGTTTAAGAAGAGACGTTAAAAGTATAGAGTTGAAGTAAACTTTAGAATATGACTCATGCTTTTAGGTGAATGTTTTGGCTTTATAGAAATTTACAGTATTGGGTGATAAAGCCACGAAGATGCAAGGGGTTTCTGGGAGTGAAAGAAAGAGAAAAAAAAAAGGAGATTTGCAATATTTAAAAAATTTTGCATTCTACTTATAAAATATGAGGAAATTTTCTTGCATGTTCTTGTTCAGAATATTGACCTATTTATTTACTCTTGAAGAACTATGATTTCCATCACCAGAAATGATATGAATTTATGATGTACAAGTGTCTTTGATTGATTGATTGATTGCTTAACTTTTTTTTTTTTTTGCAGTTTATCAACCCTTTGCAGGTTATTTAAAGCCAGAACATACTTTTAGATTGTAAGAATTTTTTTGAAATAATGATTTACTGATACAGGTTATACTAATTAACCCATAGCTGGGAGAAGGAGAAGAGGTGGATTCATGCCTTTCCTGAGGGTATTTGTGCATAAGTGAAGACATTATCCATTACACTACCTACACATTCAAGTATTACTGGTATTCTCAAGTAGTCACTGATCTAGTTATTGACTAGTTTTGACATTGCTTAACTTTGGTGATCATATGAAAACAGGTATTTCAACATGTTACCCTAAGCCACAACAATGTTTTATATGCACCAAAAGAAAGATACATCAGAAAGGATGCTGAAGAGTTCTCAGTTCCTATCCATTTCCTAAAATCTAACCAAATATTTTGGAATCATTTGAATGTTTTGGCACCTTCTCATATGTAATAGTTCTTGAAGATTCTGTTTATTACTTAGTAACAAAATAAAACTGATCTCCCATTTTATGCCCAATAGAGTCTTAATACAAGAGAGCGGTGAAATGTCCTTGGCTCTATCCTCTTCATTAAAATCAGACTAAATGAACAAACATCAGAATTTAGGCAGGAAATTCACTTGTGGGTCAGACTAAAAAAGTTCAGTATTTCCTTGCATGTATAAACATTGCAAGCAGAACTCATCAACAGGCAGGTTAAGATTAAGGTTCTATGTTCTCCACATAGGATCGGCACATAGTATATAGCCTAGTGAATTTAATGACATAGTAATTGTGAGTTCAATCCCTATGCCATGCTGTACTTGGTCTTAGTGGAAACAGGGCAAACAAATGCCTAAATCAGAACTAGACAAGGTATTCCTAGACCTGGACAGCATAATGAGAACAATCTACCCATGTAGATTAAATGAAGAGTTTAGTTCAAAATGCCCTGAAGTTTATTCCAAGCACCTGATGAAGGCCAGCGGGCACAAGCTCAGAAATGTTGTAATAATAACAACAAAGATGAGGACAATGGTCTCCATGTAAATAACACTGTGCATAATATAAGACAATTTGGAAAAACCTCTTTGATTACAAAAAAAGAGATTTACATGATGCCAATTAAACAGCAAAGTATGTCAAAGTTGACATTTTTCCAAACTGTCATACTATTCCACAAACACACACACACACACATATATATAAGGTTTACCTTGTACAAGGCCCAAGGGCCACTCAAAGTAGGTTACAGAGTAAAAGGCAGTTTATGCAGATAGGAGGGAAAGATAATGGTTAACCCTAGACTTGAACAGGTTAAGATTGTAATGATCAGGGGAACATCCTCTTGGGAGTTGGTTCTAAAGAACAGTGGTTCATGGTAAGAAGCTTTTAGAAAAGAACTTCTCGCCAATGGAACACAGAGGGAATGAGAGTGATTTGCTACAATGTGAGTGGCATGGCAGGTCCTAGCTGTGAAGGTTAGAACTTGGGGAACCAAAGAATGTAGTTTGCCTGAGAACTTTCCATGGAAAGTAGAAATAGATTAGTGAGAGGTTTGCCACATCCTGTCTGTGAGAGAGAAATTGGAGGATGGAATATAATTTATCACCCACATGGACTCAGAGACACTTTTGGACTCTGAAGCTGAAGAGTGAGGACTGGAAAGTTCCTGCCCAATTATGACAACAGCACTCAATTTCAGGCTTGAACTAAAGTTAGAGGAGAGCACAAAGCATCAGTTACTTACTGGAGTGGTACAGGGATCCAATGCTTTTTCTCATATATTCAGCAATGGACCATAATTTCCATTTGATGTCTGGGGGTGAGTTTAAGACCCAATACTCTCTCAAGGCACAGAGCCTCCCCGAGGAGACATCCATTCATATTGACTGGTCCGATTGACAATGATGAAATCTAATTGGTTTTCGAGGCATTGAATGTAACCAGTCAGGTTTTCCCCAACTGAGATGTTAGAGCTAGATCAGACGAGAGATCAGCTGCCGATCGATATATATTTGTTTTTGCTTGTTATTTTATAATCGTAAGCTCCATTTAATGACAAGCAATTCAAATTGGTTTCTCTTGACTACAACATTCAGTTTAGAAGTCACAATCATAAAGAACTAAAGGAAGCTAAAAGATGTGTTAGTAACCTGATCTCATTACTGAGTAACAAGATTATTGTAACACTAGACCTATTCACTAATATCTTGTGTGGTACTATTACCGAATATTTCATTATTAAGTAATGAGATCAAGTTTCATTGCATTTTTAGACATTTTCATATATATTTGTTTCAGAAATCTCAAAGGAACTGGAAAGATATGCCAGAAAATTACAGTATTGTGAAGTGTTTTAACAAAGGATGAAAAATGCAAGACAAAAATCCAAATGCACATTGGAATAGCAAAAGATGCAAAGTATTAAGAAAGAGGAAAATTTTGTTAGAAATGAAGTGAGGAGCCCTGAACTGTAGTATATCAGTCTTCCTCTATAGGAGTTGATGCTGGACAATTTCCTCACAGATGAAGAGGAGATGTGCAACAATAGAAATATGGTTCTACAGAAGGATACAAAGAATGCCATGGATGGAACTGACAAGCAATGAAGAAGTCTTAAAGAAAAGGGAAACAAGAAGACATTTAGAATAAGAAAGAGACAGCTGGAATTTCTTGGACACATGAGGAAAGGTGGCTTGGAGAATTTGACATTCACAAGATATATTGAAAGTAAATGGGATGGGGAGAGAGTGGAGCCACTTACATGATGAGCTTGTTTGAATGGATAGTGGAATGAGGCAGAGGGATGACAAAAAGACAAATATTAATAAGAGCTACAAATTGAAGTTGTGGAGAGCCATGACTGCCCATATCAAAAAGTACTACTAAGTGAATGAATGTGCGAACAATCTAACAGATATTTTTCAAAAATTTTAATCAAAAGGCCAAGTTAGATCTCTTGCATTCGCTTTTACACAAATGCACATGGGAAAGGCATGAATCCATCTCTTCTCAAGCTATGGACTAAACAGCAAGGTAGACTGAGCACTCTAGCCTTGGTTAGTAGCTAGTCCAAGAAAAGGAAAACTCCGAATTTAAAACTGTAGAGAAAACAAAAGGAAATCACCCCATTAACTTTCCTAAGTACACACAGCTATTCACTGACAATCAAGAAAGGGAAGCTATGGAGAGTCATGAACGCCTACATCCTGAAAAAACATGACACTACCAAAGAAAAAAAAAGTGAATAAAAAAATGAAATAGGTTTTCTAAATTTAAATGAAAAGGAATCTTGCTGGATTAGTAATGAAAAAGTTAAAGTGTGTGTGTGTGTGCGTTTGCTGGAGGGGATGTATCTACATACATACATAGAAACATAAATATTAAATAAACTGTACCAAATTTTAGAAATGGCAATCTCAGCCAGTTATTTGTCTATTAAGATGAGGAACAAGGGTTCAAAACTTTTACTTACACAGTCAAGCATCAGAATATCTTTAATACCAAGAGTAAATCCAGTCATTTGCAGAAAGTTGGTGAACAGTCTACCTAAACAGGTCAGAAGCTGGGTTGATATTTTGCCTCCATAAAGCTGAAAGGAGAGAATTTAAAAAAAAAAAAAAAAAAACTTCTTACATAATTTAAAAAAAATAAAAAACTGAATTGAAATGAAAATTGTTCAAAATCACATTGGTAGTGGAGATGCAAACGGAGAGAAACCATGTTGTCATTTTAGAGTTGAGAATTTAGGCGAAATGGAAATAATTGAATTTATATTATTTGCTTGTATCGAAAAGGGAAAAAAGACAAGATGTCCAAGAATTTAATGGAAATCGTCCAAGAATTTAATGGATGTTGGTCCAAGAATTTAAAGGAAGATGTCCAAGAATTGCCAATGAAAGTTACTCAAAATCATGCATTGGATTATCTTTAAGTCTTAAGTTGAAAAATAAACAAAAGCTATGCACTTATTCAATAATGTTCTCATTTCTGTATCTATAAGTTTGCATAAAATATATACAACAAATGTGAATGTCACTGTGTCACAATTTTTCAACTTTACTCCTAGAGGCCAAAGCCGAACATATACCATTTTGGAATCAGGCCGACTCCATGAGGAAATGAAAAACATTCCAGGTTGGATCCAGATCCAATATCCTGAAATTATGGATTAGCAAATTTTCATTACTGTGATTTTTTTTTTTTTTTTTTTACATAATTTTTTGTGACAAATTTTTTTGTTATAATTTTTATAACATGGAAATAAATTTGGGAATAATCAAAATTAATTGTGAAATCCAGTGAAAGTCACCCATGAAATAAAAATAATTGTTTGTACAGTAAGTACTATAACATCTATTCTTTGCTACCTATTGTGATGAAGGCCTAATCAAGAATCCCTACACAGGAACTAGCTTAAATGCCATGCACTAGGGTGGCTTTTAAGCTAGTATATAAACATATTGCCAGGTGAAAAACAAATTTGCTAATACATGTAAAAGTTCCATCATCAATATAAAGAAAGTTACCTCATAACAGCAGTGCACAAGACCATAAGATGTCGCTCCGTACTGTCCTTTATCCAGCACTCCACACAGTAATTCACTGTCTTTGATTATAACATGACTTTCACCCATATCAGCAGACATTTCCTCACTCAACAGACACATTTCATTAACGTCTGTACTCCACAACTGGAAAGTAAGAAAGCAAAAATAAAAATAAGAACACAAAAAAATTCTCATTTTATATATATATATATCAAATGAAAATTAGAAAACATGCAACAACAATAGCTGCAGGCTTTATCTTCTTCTATGTGCCTTCCTGCTTCAGGACATGGGTGATCATGGGTCTCTACAACTTCCTATCCTCAATAGCTTTTAGTTAGGTTTGTCTTTTCACCATCCCTGATCTCTGTCATCCATTTACACAGTTTTTTTAGGTAGGTTACTCAACGCTTTCCTCTGTCCCCTTTGCCTTCAATATTTCCTATGAGTGTCACACTCTTCAAGCCTTTTTTCCTCATTATGCGTCCTAGAAATTTTAGTTGTCCCTTTCTGATCCTAGGCACAAGTGTCCTTATTGTTTTCATTTTCCCTAAAACTTTGTTACTCTCATGTGCTGTTCATAGAATTCTCAACATTCTTCTGTATAACCATATCTTGGTTACCTCAAGTCCCCTCTCTATCTGTGAGGAAATTGACCAGCATTCACGGTCATATACAAGGACCGATATTACACAATATTTCAGGCTTTCAAAATATCCCAACCAATGTTCTCTACAATTCATTTTCGGTCATTTAGTTTATTTAATGACACTTGAACACCAAGATGTTTGTTTTATTGTGTTACAAAAGTTTATAACCTTTTTGATTGACTGATATGTTCCTTATGGGTTATCAACCTTTTGAAGGTTATTTAAAACCAGCAATTTTTTTTTAAATTGTAATAATTTATTTGAGAAACTAATGATTTACTGGACAGAAGTCCTAATTAACCCATAGCTGGAGGGGGAAGAGGTGGATTCATACCTTTCCCAAGAGTATTTGCGTGTGAGTGAATATAATGAACCCAATGGCAACTAGAACTTGGCTCTCCAATTAACAATTCCAAGCCTTTATAGTTTACACCACCCACACATCCAAGCTTACAGTACCTGGTATTCCAAACAGTTACCCATATAGGTACTGTTGCTTAACTTTGATGACTGTACAGGAAGCAGTAGAACATTTTTGAGAACCAAGTTTCTGACATTGTTTATTATTATTATAAATATTATTTTTACTGAGTACACATGTTTGAGTTGACATCCCCTCCCTATTTCTCTTCTTAAATAAGGAAATTAACATAAACAGGCCTTGATAGAAAAGTCAGATTTCTCTTTCATACGACTTCTTGATCTAAGCCAGTTGACGCTCATTTCATTGTTTAAGAAAATTGAATAGTTTTCTTTTAATTAGAGTATCGTTTTTCTTGCTTCAAAATTGCTAGAAAGAGTAATACTGGAGAAACCTCAAGGAGCTTAGATAAAAGATTATATTGACTGAAAAGGGACATTTTAAAGAAACAACACATTAGTTGCATACCGTAAGGACATGTTTGCACTTGTTTCGAATTCCGAGGTAAGTCATGTCTTTCGTTACAATCCTCCCTGATCTCATGATCACAAAGGTGGCAGCCCGATGATGATCATTTTCGACAGGTGCTTCTTCGCAAAAGCAGGAAGGGGGGCTCTGCTCTTGCTCCCTCTTTGGGTGGGTTGTTGGAGGGGTGTAACGAAAGACATGACTTTATATATAAAGGAAAAACAATGCATCATTGAAAACGATTATAAATTATAATTTATTACGTCAAGTAAGTTCTTAATACTTGTCTCATCAGACTGAAAATACAAATGGTATAATTTTACAGAATGGTTTAAATTTACCCAGACAATATTTTTAAATATATATGTGTGTGTGTGTGTGTATATATATATATCTTTATTCTAATGTATTTCTCTAGCTGTTACTCGTATTCTCCCAAACACCACACTTGAACATGGGGTTGATAGCTGCCTCTCTGACCCCACCCATGTCTTCAATAATATAAATCCCAAGAAAATAGAGTTTTTAGGTTAAGCATCTAGAGTTCTCATTACCTGTTTTTTAAAAATATTTTCTGGATAAATTTAAACCATTTTGTAAAATTATACCATTTGTAATTTCAGTCTGATGAGACAAGTATTAAAAACTTGTCAAAATAAGTTATAAATTATAACCATTTTCGACGATGCATTAAGTTTTTTCTTGATGTATATCATATTGATCTGTATGCAATAGATTGAGCTCTCTTTATGGGTATATCTTTTTAATATTTTATATCAAAAAGACCTACTTGGATTATCCTTTCCACTTACGGATTTGATTATATATATATATCGACTGGGTTTTGATCCTGGCTTGAAGTAATTGGATCACCATCCACACCAATGAGCTGTGATATAGTGAAACAGGCTTGTATGTGGATAACATATATATATATATATATATAACTAGAGAAATTAGTCTGAAACAAAAGTTTGAGGTTTTGTTAATAAAAATAACCTCTAAAAACTTCTTTCTCAATCTGCATTGGCTATCTGATTATATAAAGAGAATAGGAGATAATGGACATGCACATACATTAAATTCAATAAGGCAGTCAAAGATATTAACTTTATTCTGAATTGCCTTATTATTTTTAGATCATTATTAAAATACAGTTTGTTTTTTTTATATTAATATTTTAAAAAATTCTTACCTTCTCTGCAATTTTAGAAGTGCTGTCAATAGTTAAAGGTGGTTTGTTACTTGGTATAATATTTAATAGCAAAGTGGAAACCACCTGATCAAAAAGAAATAAAAAAAGAAAAAATTAATAGCAAAGTGGAAATCACCTGATTAAAAAGAAATAAAAAATCTTATAAACATTAACATTTTTTAGGCCTTGACATGACTACAAAATATGACAAAAAAAAAAAAAAATCACTCATAAATTGTATTTTAAAACAATATGTAAGTATATATTGTTGCCTTTTTGTTGTAACCTAGGGAAGGTTACTGAATAGAATAATCACACAAAGATTGGTAATGAACGATAATACTTAGGACAAGAACGACACATATAAGATTCATCAGCGGTGTGTAGAAGCAGTAGTCAACTGTTAGAAGTGAGTCAAGTGAATTCCACAATAAATCTGCAGACTGCAGACTCACACATACAGTATTCACTACTGTATTTATGGGAATGGGGGCATACCCATTATCGCCTGTAGGTATGCTACAACACTTTTCCATGTGTACTAATGATAAAACATAAAATAATAAAAATTAATGCTTGTCTGGTATCAAAGAACATCTCAAAACAATCAGCACTAATAGGTTAAATCCCCCCCCGCCAAAAGGAAATAAATATAAAAACGATTTTTTTTTTTTTTTTTTTACACATGTACAGACCATGAAGCATGGTGGGGTAATGGATAGCAGTTTGGATTGAGGAATTGGAGAGCAGAGTTCAAACTCTAGTTGAGTTCATTGCATTATGTACTAATACCCTTGGGAAAGGTAGGAATCCATCTATGGGTAAATAGCAGGATAGACTGAGCCCTATAGCCTTGGTTGGCAACCAGTCTAGAAGAATGAAAACTGAATTCAAACCACATGCTATTTTGTAGATCCTGCCTGTATAACTTCTGAGAGGAAGGAAGAGGTAACTTGAACATTTCTGGTGCAAAAGGAACAGGGAAGCCATTGCACTATTTTGCCTTGAATGTCACAATGAACCATAATTGTAAGTCATAGACGAGTGGTGACCACAGTGGAATAAATGGATGGTTAGCGGGGCAAGACAATCCATGCTACCATGATTGTGGTGGTTAATTGGCAATATCTTCCTACCATTTTTTATTACAATTTGAGTGAAATGAAAGTATATGCTTACTGAATTTATTTAATAAATTCAATACATTTTAAAATACAATTTGACGGGGTTGTTTTGTATAGCAAATATAGCCTGAAACCTATATTAGGCTTGAAAAAATTTTTTTTGGGTGGGGGGGGGGTCGCTTTATACACCAGCATATACAGTTGTTGGGGCGCACCCACCTTCTAACTAGTAATGGACTGGTCCCTCTTATATAAGTCAGCTCTGGAGAGAGTGGGGAGCGTCAGAGAGAGAGAGAGAGTCAGCGTGAGCAGCCCAGATAAGCTTACCCGGTACATACCGTTGGACTATAGACTTTGGATATTGTTTCATACTAACCAACCTTCGTTCTATTAATCACTCTATTGTTAATTGCGTTTATGAATATACCAGTATTTTCCTCTACAACTGTGTTTGTCTTAATTCATACACCGACATGCGGGAAACTCACAACATCTCAACAACAGTACATATAGGAAAATAAGCTGCAACTGCTACAAAACCAAAAAAAATCATCTCATATTCTTAAATAGCCTCGTCAAATAAAGATTTTCATATGAATGTCATGCATGGTGACAAATTCATTCAGAAATATCTAAACTTTCAGTAGTATAAAACTGCTTTTGCAGAACAACTGTTAAAGTCAGCCACAAGCAAATGAATCACAAAGAAGTATAGCAAATAACAGAAACCATATCACTTAAGGACTGTCAACAGCAGCAACAACTAAAAATGAATAGCACACGTAACATTAAGAGAAAATAATGACATAACCAAGATTAAGGAAGGTTAACCGATTTTCTTCACACATTGTTTCAATGTTGACTTTCAACACTACTTCGAACATAAGGTAAGGAAGAAAGCCCCCGTCAATACTAGAAAGAGCAACACGAGCGACTGCACCTGAGAAACCTATTTTCCTGAAAAATTATTTTAACAGATTTTATAAATTTCAACTGAAAGTAGCACTGGCTGTTTGGTCAATGAATGCTGAAAGTTTCCTTATAAGGAAACAGCTAATATTACCATTACCATTTAAGCAAACATCCATTTGATCTGACTGGTACAAGGCCCTATTTAATGTGGAGAACCCACACATAGAACCAGAATTAAAAAGAAAAAAAAAAAAAAAAAGTCCATTTTCTCAAATTAGATGCAGCAAAAAAAACTAAAAATGTTATTTCTGCTGTTACATTTTTTCAATTTACTTAATGATTCCAGAATAATTTGCTAAGTGTGGCACAAGCTCACAATAATGGAGTGCTTGTAAGGATTAGGTTCACTTCAAAAGAAAAGCATGCTAACCATTGCCTGGGCAAACTTTTCTTTACTGAATAAATCTGAGTAAATATTTTACCATATGCATTCCACTTACATTGTCTGAAGGTGTGCATTTGACTAGATGATTATTAGGAAGTTCTATTACAGATGTTTTGTATGCGATTTTATACTTTCAGTGCAGACATTTTTTTTGTGTTTTTTTTTTGAGATATAGTTTATAGATAATAAAATGTATTGTGCTGGAAGCGGCCTACTTCTTTCAGCTAGCCTATTATTTGAGAAACAGATACATTTTTTGAAAAACATGGTATGCTTTTGTACATCATGGCACTTGTTGCACATTTTCTTGTATTCTTTACAGTCTATTAGGATGTGCTTAACAGTGAGCAATTGATCACAAGAGATGCACCGAGGTGCAGTTTTTGCTTTGAGTAAGTACTTGTGTACATCCAATTAGCATCTGCTTAGCACTATGCCCTTGGCTTCAGTCACATAATGGTTCTATTTTCCAGCCTGTCAACTGATGTTGGTACAGTTTGTTGTGTGAAAACGTGTCTCAAATTGTTTACCATTTTCTTTTAACGTATTGTGTGATGTTATTTTTGTAATTTTTATATGGGATTCTAATGTTGATTATTGTCTTTTTGGTTTTTTTGCCAATGCATCACCATTTTTGATTTCCCTTAATGCCTACATGGCTAAGAAGTGAGGCTAAGATTATCACTTTGTGGGAGAAGCCAATAAGTACAATATGTAATTAGTCTTTTTAGAAAAGTAGGAATGATTCTTACCTGCTTTCCAGACCAAAATTTTCTGGGTTTAATGATTGCCGGCTTCAAAGTCTGGATATTTTCCATCTGGTCCAGCAAGGCACCAAAAACTAGTTGCTGGTATTCATGCCTAAAGAACAGGGAAAAAAAAAAAAAAAAGAAACTCAATAAAATTTAACCAGATATTAACAGATTTTGTTCTGAATTTATAGAACAAGGAGTTATTACTGACTTTCTGACTAAGCATCTAATCTTTCTTTCTTGTTATCATCACGTTTCAGCCATTAAGCTTTCTAACCTTCTTCAGATGATTGTCAATTTGGGTACACTTCAGGAACTTCAAATTGAAACCTTTATTTAATTTATGAGGGTAGATTGTTCATGTACTACTGTCTATGTCTTTAAAATAAAAAATGAAAAAAAAAAAAAAGAGAGAGACAAGAAGACCTTAAACATGGACAGAAGATCAAGAATAACCTTAATTAATGGCAGCTTGACATTCTTCGAAGTTTATCTAGATCAACAAACACCTGAAGAAAGCTGGAAGTTGAAACAGTCAAAACATTGTTGTGAGGGCAACAACATGGATGAAGATGTTAGTAATAATGTAGGTACCTCAGTGAAATCACAAGAATCAGCATACATGATGAAAACATGTTCCAAACATAATGAAAACTGTTTTATCAAAATCTTTGTTATTATTAAGAGGAAGGAGCAAAGTATTTTTTGAATATTTAATTACTTACTCCTTTGTAGAACATTCAAAATTTTGATTAAAAAAATTTTTTATCTTGTGTGAGTACACTATTTACATTATTCGAACTATTGTCCTCATCTCTGTTGCCATATTTATTACAATGTTTTGGCTGAAACATTGTAATAAATATGGCGACAAAGATGAGGACAATAGTCCAAATAATGTAAATAGTGTACATAATGCCTGATCTCAGAAATATAGACAGATACTTGTGTGAGTAGTTGAACTCTTAGCATAGCAAATTTTAGCCTCTTTCTTTTTTTTGTGGTGACAGAGACATTAATTTGGAAATTCTTACAAAAATCAAATAATTGTCAAACTTTAATGATATTTTCATGACTTATTCACAAATGAATACAAGTATTTTTAAAATCTATTTTATTAGAAATCTTGGATAATTTTTTTGTGTGTTTCACCCCCTTAACTTTATGAAAACTTGAGAAATTCAACATAATTCTACCTTTAATGAATGTAGTTAAAAGCAGAAATTTTTGAGGAATTTAAATCACTGAACTTTTTTTTGCAAAATCAGACCCTGTCTTACCAAAAATCTGTTCTGAATTGAAAAAATAAAATATGCAATAAAACTAAGACATTATTTAATTAGAGAGGCTTTTAATTGCTTTTATGAATAAGATATATTAAAGACAATATTATCTAAAGAAAAAAAAAATTTTCAATGAAAAATGAATTTTTACAAAATTTGTTAAATTTTTTACAATTTTAAATTGAATAATTTGTAAAGTTTTTAAATCTTTTCAAATGGTGTAACTCTTAGGAAATATTGTTATAAAGTAAAATTATATTTACTAATCATATATTGTAAAGCTTATTACAATTTGATGACCCCAAATATTTCTAAAAGAATTCTGATTTGTTTTTGTATGTGCGATATACATGCAGAATTTCCAATTATACATGAACAAACCAATAAATCTACCATTAAAAGGTCAAGTGTTTTAATGGATGTCTCCCCTTATAGGAAAAAAAAAAACCTCATAAACTTTATTGTCTGCTCCACCATACTTAACTATGAACACATTTGGTGGTCATTTAGCCATTAATAAATTGATTAACACATCAGAAAAACTGGAATCCGCAGTTAAGAAGTGCTTCTATCAAACATTTTATGCTATAAGTGAGTAATATACATTTCAAATCAGATTAACTTTAAATTTTCTAATTTTCCTCAAATAACGTTTCAGAAATATATATTTTATTTTGGCAAGATCAATATAACTTCTATTTGAAATACACCAGAGTATTTTACTGACTGGAAATACTCAATTTTAAATCTTTTACTTTTCAATTAAAGCTAAAAAGAAAGCTTCAAGAAAGCCTTTTCATTTTTAAAAAATAATTTTAATCCTTACGTATACCAAATTAGGGGAGGTACCTATCATAATGTAATTAATTTAAATATTAAGATTTTATTAATTAAGGTGGCGGTTTCTAGATAGGGGTCCAGTTCATAACAATGAATATCTTTTGTCCAAAATCTAGATTCAGTGAAAGCATTAAAATGAATCTTCACTGCATCAAATGGCTTACTTTTTAAGTAAAAAAAATCCAAATAATGAAAATTAAAGGGAGATAACTGATACATCTGAACGTCACGTTTATTAAATTATGTATCGTTTAAAAATTAACTTTGTTAATTTGATTGTTGCTTATTTACAATTTTTGACAAGTCAGTGTGTTTAAGAGGATTATTTAATGTTGAAGACAATAAAGGCCAAGAAATTCATTGTTTTTCATTTTCAAGCAATCAAAATAAACTACCAAAAACAAACAAAAAAAAAAACAAACAATTAAAATATTAAAATAAATAAAAAGCGTAATATGAGTTAATACAGAAAACTTTGTTAAATATTTAATTTATTTGCACATGTATTTCAGAATGGAAAAATATTTAAATTGTTTTTTGTATTGTTTTTAACTCATTTTTATATATTATGAGAATAAACACAAAATTTTTTAAGTGAATGAAAACTTCAGGGATGGTATCTCCACTAATTCACATACTGTGAAAAAAAAAAAAAAAAATGCCCTAAATTTGATAAAAATCAAAGTTTTATCATCAAAATTTTTGTTACTATTAAGAGAAAAGACCAAAGGATTTTTTTTTTTAATTATTTAATTATATTTTTTAATTCTTTCTAGCATATTCAAAATTTTCATCAAAAATCGTTTTTTGGGGGTTTTTTTTGCATCATCAGGGGAACCAAAGATTAGTAGAGTCTTTTTTTTGTGGTAAAACACACATTGATTTTTGCAAGAATTTCCAAATCAAATAATTGTCAGATTTTAATGAAACTTTCAGGACTCATTAACAAATGACTGAAATTCTTTAAGATTTTTTTTTTTTTTTAACATCTGTTACCTCACTCCACTTATTTAATTTTTTTTAAATTTTGGGAAATTAAAATTTTCACCCCCTTATATTAGTTCAAAGCAGAACTCTTTGGAGAATTTAAAACCTTAATTTCTTTTTGTAAAACAGAAATACCATTTACCAATATCTGCTCTGAATCATAAAATAAAAAAAATGCAACAAAAATAAGACATTATTTAACTAGAAAAGCTTTTAGTTGTTTTTATAAACAAAATATATTAAGGGCATTATTGTGTTAAGAAAAAATTTTTTGTATGAATAATGAATTTTTATCTCAATTGTTTTCATCTATTTTAATTAGAATGATTTATTAATATTTATTAATATATAAACTATATTTACTAATCATATATTGAAATACTTTGTACAATTCATCAAACATCAATTTAAAAATTTTGAATTTCTTTTGTATGTGCCAATTTTTATAGATATGGTTGTTCCTACAAGACATTATCAGAAAATAAGAGTGATTATAGTTATCACTCTTACTCATAAATTTAGAGCCAAAATATCTAAAATTCAATAAAACATGCTATTATGAAGAATATTTCCCTAAATTTTAAAGATTACGGAGTACTTAAAAATTACTTATAGAAGGTGTTCATGTTGTATTCAACTGATTTCGTTTTTACAGATAAAGCCCCCATAGAACAACATTAGATAAACATCTATCTGTCAACCCATAAACAGCTGATAAAATATAAATTTCTGCAATATTTTAAACTTAAAGTAAATATTTGTTTCAAATCATATTAGTTATACTTTGATTCAATGGTTTGGAGGCAAAGGACATTTGTTGTCATGATTGCCTCCTTTCTAATTGTCCTGCTGAGGAATAATTGGAGATTATATATATTTTTACAGTAAGGTCTACCCTGTACAAGTCCCAGAGGCCACTCAAGGTAGAAGGTTACATTAAGAGCCAATTTGTACAGATAGGAGAAAAAGGTTAACCCCAGACCTGAACAAGCCAAGACTGCAGTGATTGGGGAAACATCCTCTCAGGAGTTAGTTCCACTGAGCAGAGGTTTGCAGGAAGAAGCCATTCAAGTGGGACCTACCTCTCACCAATGGAATATGGAGAGAATGTCAGTGGTTTTCTACCATGTGAGTGGCATGGAGGGTCCCAACTATGAAGGTTAG